CACTTTCTGTGGTTGAGGTCTCAAGATTCCTCACCCAGCAAGGTCACTTTGTGGGGGGGGGGCTTCACAAACCAAGTTGGGGGTAATGTCAAGATGTGCTGTCTCCTTTCATTACAGAAGATCTTCTTGGACTTTGTCACCATTGAGATGACCTTCCATGCAAAAGCCCTAGAGGTCTATTCCAATGCCTTCCAAATCCTTGAAAGTTATGATGCAGAGAAAGATCTGGAGGTAGCTGAATCTGTGAAATAATACAAAAATGAAATTCACTCATAACAGAGTAAATTAAAAATTGCTAGCTATCTTTTGATTTAGAAAACACAAATCTAGGAGGGCCAATCTAGGAGGCCATAGGCCCTGCTCCCTCTGAAGAGCACCTGAGGCCTCTCCAAACCTGTTAGGCCTCTCTGAGAGGGCCAAGGCCTCCCCCCTCTCCCTCCCCACCAATATGAATATGCTCAGTGTCATAAGGAAGCAGAAGAAGCCTAGTTTTCACTGAGGGGAAATAAATAAATAAACAAACCTGTACCTGGCCTATATATACCTCTTCAGACTGCAGTTTGGGGTTTTGTGACTGAAAGTTCGTTCCTCAAGCTTTGGCAAACAGAAAGCTAAAATGTTACAGAAAGTTTGCACACACATGCCGTACTTATAAGCACATTAAAAGCACATTCCCACAAGTGAGAGAATTCTAGGAACTGTCGATTGTTAGGGATTCTGGGACTTGTATGTTGGGACTTGTAGCTCTGTGAGGAGTAAACTACAATTCCCATGATCCTTTGCTTTGTGTGCAGGGGGTGCTTTGCAAAGGTATAGTCATAGTGTGTAAGCAGCCTATGTCAAGATTTAAAAACAAAATAAATTGCATGTATGCCTGGAGTATTCAGACATGGGAGCCCCATCAGCACTCATTTTGCGCACAGGATTAGCCCCTCAGTGGCAAGTAGGCCACAGCACCTAGGACTTGAGTGACAGCCATCTTGTTACTGACACGTTGCAGCAGCATTCACTAGCCTGTTGCCCTCCACATGTTTTAGTCCCATCAACCGAAGCCCACATGGCAGGTGAGAATTATAGTTCAAAACAGTGTACCTGGTTGGTGAAAGCTGCATTACACTTGTTCTCCTTACCAGAAAGTCAAAACAGACAGGCTCCAAGCAGCTTACTGTGACCAGATATCACCTTGGTTACCCAGTCACACCATTGTACTTTAATTAGTCAGTGTATTGGCAGAGGCCAGATCACTAATACCTATTGATCATTGTAGCACCTTTGTTATATCACACATGCATGATTTTCAGGACTCCAGGTAGGGATTGCTAACAAAATTTGGCTGTGTGATAATTGCCCTAAATAGGATTTCTTGCCTTGCTAGGATTTCAGAGCAAAAATACACATTGCTTCTGGAACCTTCCATGAGGCGAGACCAGACACTACGACAACAAGCCAATCTACTGCCCTCCCATGGTCCACACAGGTGAGAAAGCAGAGTTATTACTGTAATAAGTGAGCTTTGATTCAAAAACCAGCTACTTTGCTGAGTAAACATGGTTAATCTTGCACGGGAAGTGAAAAATTGAACTCACCAGTCCTTGTACAGCACTCTGTCCACTACAACGCACTGGTGGTAAACTACTTCAGACTGCTAGTACTCACATGACTCCGCATTCCCTGTATTACTAGTAATTTGCAGAAGGAAGTCCTGAAGCTTGGTCTATGGTATTCTACAGTCTACAATCTGTAGTAGTCTACTAAGGAAATGGTATACATGCAACCATCACTTGGCACTATAGTCCAGGGGTGGCTAACCACCAGCCTGGGGGATTATATCCAGACCCTGAAGCAGTTGTTTTTTTTGTCCCCACTCCACAAGACTACATGAGTCTGGTGCAGCTAAAATAATTTATTCTAAAAGTAGGCGACAGTGGAATGGGCAGAGAGGTTTAAAGCTTTACTACCAGCCCAGTCCTCTGACATGGGTCACATCCACACCATGCAAAAATCACCTATCGGCTCCTTAACAAGGACACAAGGGACCCTAGGCATGCCTCTGTTTGCAACATAATCATCCTTAGACTGGCTGGAAGGATAACCATTGTCACACCTTTCCATTTCCAGAGCATCCGAAGCACTCTTCAGAAGCTGGAGCTAGTGGAGAGTGATAAGGAATCTGAAGGGGACCAGCTGCAAGATTTAAGGGATGCTGAATACACCCAGATTCAGTGGGTAACCAGCAGAACCACATGAGACCAACTGTCTTGATTAATGAAGCTGTGCTGGATTTATTCATCTACTCCCTGGTTATGCTTTACATTTTCATGCAGGTTTCCTCTAGATCAGAAGTGGACACTGAGTCCAACAGCATCTGCCAGGTACTGCAAGCTCCCATCAGCCCCAACCATCACAGCCAATGATCAGGGATGATGTGAGCTGCAGTTCGGCAATATGCCTAATTCACCATACTGATTACCCAGATCAACACCTACCACTCCTTCTTCAAACTTTAGATTTAAAATAAAATAGAACATTAACTTTCAATCTCTAATTCAATTTTTAAATGGCTTGGGCAGAAGATGGGAGCATAGTGCAATCCCACTTGCAAAGTTTCCTGTTCATTCAGGAGGACTAGAAGCTTACGATTATCACAAACCCACATATCATTTGTTCATCAGATGTACATAGACAGCTCAGCAGAAAAGTACATTTGCAGTTCAGGTGTCGTTATCAGGAGTGGCCACCCCATACTGCATTGCCCCTGAGGTACAGCCCATTTCTTATTTGAATTTTTGCCACCTCAAATCACTGGGCTATTTCAAAGCAAATAATTAGGTTTAAACTCTCTCGTCCACAAGTTTATTTTCCATATGATAGCGACCATCACAACATCCTGCAACAGTGAATTCCATAGTTTAATTGGTAGCTGTGCACGTTCCATTTCCAATCAGTTTCCCTGACCTTGCCTTTCCCAGTTTTTAGTGTTTTGAAAAAATATATGATAATTTATCCTTTTTCGCTCTCCCCGTGGTCTGTAATTCACACTTGATGACATACTTTATCTGAGCAAAATAAAATGTGCCACATTGGATTGTGATTTAGTGATTTGTCAGAATTCTGAGGCCAGTGTCTCAGATGAGCCATTAAGTGTCATTGAGTGGGTGGAAGATGCTGATGATTGCCTGTTATTGGGCACATTGTTAAGATGTTTTAGTAGAAGAGCTATATATTTTCAGTGCAAGTAAGAGAGAGTTCAGATAGAATAAAGAGTACTGTTGTTTTCTCTCTTTTTGTGGTAACTTGTTTTACTTCTGAACCTTCTTTTTGAATAAAGAAAAAGTTAAGAAGGGCCAAACTAGATATGGTAAGTGTGTTAGCATAGAACACACCAGAGTGTTTGTTGTTTCAATAAAGGGGGAAAATTCTATCAGGACCACAATGCAGCATTCAAAAAGAGGTTTCTAGTGAGATATGACCCCTCCAGACCTATTTGCTTGCACAAAGCTTAAGCAAACATTAGACCATATCCAATCTTTATTGAGCATCCATTCTGATTTGTTTGTGGGGCTGTTAAATGACCATGAGCATTCATCCTGAGTTACTCGTGGGGTGTTTACATGTCTTCGTGTTAATCATTCCTTCATCCCACACTTTTCAATACATTTCCCTAAGACTTTCCAAACTGCAAAAAGTCCTCCCCACCCCAAAGTGGATTTATGGTGCTAGGGCAGCAGATCAATTTAACCCACTTTAAATGCACAAACCTATAGTTCTGGTTTACAGTTGAATTGCTCCTGCAAAATGCTGACAAGCCCGGAGGTGCACTAAATCACATGGCCAAATTCAAAGACAACCACTCAGCTGTGTGCTTTTATTCTGTTCCTAGTTTGGGGTAAAGGCAGATTTTAAGCTATTTTCCCCGCAAAGCTCAGCAGCAACCTCTGTTCGCGAGATCTCTCTCCCCCCCCCCCCCAGTAACAGCCATTAAAACCGGCCCATTCATTCTGTGGGCTGCTGTGGTCAATAGTGCAGTAATTTAGAATCACTCTCAAGACAAAAGGAGATTAATTTTGTCTTTAGCAAATACCAACCTGTGATGTGCCGTGAAGCACACACAGGGCCCTAATATAGACATACGCAGCAGTCCAATAAGTTACCATCATTATTAATTTATACGACTGAATCAAAGTAGCAGTCTTCCCCACCTCCTCTGGGAAATAAGACCCCAAACTTGCTATGCTGCACACCAGTAGCAAATGGGCTGTGACTCCACAAGGATTTCATGTTCATTATTTTAAGGAGTGTCAAGGACACTGGGACTTGAACCAAGAACCTCAGGTCAGAGTTGTACTAAGTCAGACTATTTACCTATCTAGCCTAGTATTCTGTGGATCTCCAGTGTCTCAGGGAGAGAGTTATTTCCCCATCAGCTGCTATGTGATTATTTAACGAGATGCAAAGGGCAAAATCTAGGACCTTCTCTGTGCAATGGACACCATGAGTTATGCTCCTTTCTACATTGGTATGTGCTCAGGTCCTATTCAGCAAAGGTGGATTCACTAGCAGGTGACCCAAACAAGTCTCTCTGTCTCTGTCTCTGTCTCTGTTCTGTGTGTGGTAAGGCTGAGAAGCTAACTAATAATAACTACTAATATATAGTAATAAATTTATTTATATCCGCACTCCCAGCGAGGGCTGGCGGCTAACAACACTAATAGTGCAACATTCATAAACATCTAAGAATAATAAAATAAATTGACCATAACTAAATGTTAAAGATTGCCAAGAGAGTCAGCTTGCCTACCAAAGCCGGTGGAACTTTACTCGAAGTATCACATTCGACGAACAATAACACAAAAGTTCACATTCACTGTACAGCTGATGACAGCATTACTCATAATCTTTTTAATTTTTTAAGAAATTATCAGCATCAATGCCAGTAACAAATGGTACGTGTGCGCAGAGTGTTTGTAATGGGACTGTGAATCAAATCATGGCACAAATCAGCTCATTACAACGTATAAATCGTGAAATGCGCTAAATAACGTGGATTTTAAAAACTCAGTGTGTTGTTGTTGGCATCCGTCTATCTCAGGATACAATGGAGGAGTGTGCCTTTGAGGGTGAAGTCAAACCATTGGAAGGTCACACTGCCTGCTTTGGCTGTAGAGACTGATGTGGGAGAGTCATGTTTTGTTGCAGCCGGGAAAACTCAATGTATTAAAACACTGACTTAATTGGAGGAGGAGAGCTGAAGATATTCCTTGCCTGGGACACCATTTTAGATACTACCCTTTAGACACAGAAGAGAATGGTGTTGTGTAAACCCAGGCACCTGAGATTGGCTGGTAGCAAGAGGCCTTTAGACTGGCCAGCCATATGTGCTTAGAAGTGTAATTTAATGCTCTCTCACACAAAAGAACAGTACCTCTTCCAGTTGTGGCTAAACTTTTTCATACCAAGGGCTGCATCAACACATGGTCAGTCCTTCAGGGGCTGCATGCCAGAATGTGTGACCAAAGTGTAAAAGTCAATATACTTCTAATACTACTACTAAGATGAAGAAGGAAAACATTGCAAAAACATTGCAGAGCGAGTAAGATAAGAAAAGCAACTGTTAGCCTCATAGAATCAGAGCAAGGGATCCATGGGAGCAGTCATTTTTTTAAATTTGTTTTTAAATAATCAATGTTGTAGGTGTTGAGCCACAAAAAACTATTATATGCAGCCCATGAGTCATGTTTAAGCCACTCAGCTGCAGACCAACCACTACTTTCTGTTCAGCAACTGACTGCAGAGCCCATGGTCTGTGATTGTTTCTGTCCTGTTGGAACATGCAGGAGCACAGTATTGGTGTTTTGTTTCATTTTGCTTTTTTACCAATTCACACCCGCTAGTGCTGAAAATTTCAAGCCAAGAAGTGCTAAGGCCCATGTGTGCTGGAAAGCCATACAACTTAAAATAGGTATGTGAGGATTTACTGTCACTTCATTGCTACTTTGGGAAAGATGCATGGCCAATGCTCAAAGGCACTTATGCTACTTCACATGCTTTGGCACTGAACTTTGACAGCAAGAACAGATTCCCTGGGCAAAGTTCTGTAATTCATATGAAAGACGTGCATTCCACAGTTCTGGGGCTGAACAGATAAGGTGTCCTAAATGTTTCACTACATCTTCAATTAGCAGCTGCAACCCCACAGCTAGGGAATGTAGATTCAATATTAACAGCTTGTTGTTCAGTTCTAGATTAGGAATTGCTTCTCCACCAAGGTTTTCTCAGCCAGGTTCCTCCTTCCAAGTGTGTCGCGAAGCATCTTCACAAACTGAAAGTCAAAGTAGTGCAATAAAGACACATGTCTATTGTGAAGGTACCCAAACTGTGACACATGGAGCACCAGTGGTCCACCAGCTGCATTCAGGTGGCCCATGGTGTGTCTGCGGATTTTTGGTTAAAATGGGAGGCAATACACCCATCACATTAAACATGTTCTTGGTTTTCTCCTGTGTCCAGGGGTGTCTTACCCATAGAGGTTAGCGGCGTGGGGTGCCAGGGTGCCAGATTTTGGAGGGTACCACAGGCTGAGTGTCCAGGAAGGAGAGTCAGGGCGTGCTCCCTTCCCTGCTCTGGGCAGTCCACTCCTCTCCTCTGAGCCGCCCATTGGAGTGCGCTGCAAGGATGGGGCAGGCGGCGAGCCACCTGATCTGCTTGCTGGCCCTCCTGTCACACAGACTTCCCTGGGAAGGTAAGGGGCGCCGGGCACTTAGAGGGAGGCTTTGCGTGAGGGCGCGGGAGGCTGTCTGGGCTGCGATCTGGGTGCCTCTTACTTACGTACAGCACCGAGTGCGTGTAGGACCACACGATGTAAACAAGCCGGACCAAAGCCCCCTCCCCTTAAAAAAGGTAGACAACTCTGGGAAATTGGGGGAGGGCTTGCTGGAGAGATATTTGTACCACGGTGCTGGATATGCTTAAGACAGCCCTGCTTGCATCTACTGCCTGACAATTCTATTCCGTAACCCTCAGCTTTCACCCACTCTCACAATAAATGAGAGGGGCAGAACCTTCCACTGCTTTCTCCATTCCAAGAATATTCTTAAGAGAGTAAAATTAACATCCCATCCTCTAAGGACAAAGCTGTCAATTTCATATTCTCTCACTTTCTCCAAACTTTAGTTCTGCATCAATTGGCATTTTTTTTTCTTTTTAAGGCCTCATGAAAATCTGTCACCATTTTAGTGGGTATTTCTCCCAATATATGTTTTTTTGTATGCATTGGTTGGAGAAGTCCATCACCAAATTGGGAGAACTGTGAATTTCAAAGCATAGCACCATTTCAGTTTGTGTATTGTTTTGTGAAGTGAGAATTATGTGGGTACGTATGAAAATGTGAACTGACCCAAATCCCCACCCCAATCCCTACTCTTTAGAGATATATCATGCACCCGGTGTCACAAAACCATTTACCTTTTGCACGACAAAGGTCACAATTGTTGACAATACAAAATCCTGTGCTGCCAAATCTACAGCAGAGAAGACAAGGATTTCAAAGAGCAGCAGCACCAGTTCGTGACTGTAGAAAAGTGTTCTGCTAAATAAAGCACGGTCATCTAGAGGAAGAGGAAAATAGTATCTTTTTCAGATTTCCACCCTTTTTACTCTCACAGCAATTACTCCGTTTCTGGAAAAAAATTGCACCCCAAAGTAGAATCTGTATTGCCACATCCAGACCACACATTTGAAACATACAGTGGAGGCTGGACCATTAGGGCAAATGGGTCACTGTCCCACTAGGGTCGCCATACGTCCAGAATTTCCCAGATATAGCTGGGTTTCGGCTATGTAGATTTTGGTGAATTTTGACATTGTGTGTACGGATTTTCACTTTTTGAAATATGGTAACCCTATGACCCTTACTTACAGTCAGCCAGGGGGTGGCTCTGCCTATCCTGGCTCTAGCTCCACCTGCTGGTGGACTCCCTGCCTCCTGCTTTACCAGTCTTAACAGACACCAGCCATCACTTAAAGCACTTTTACACCACTTCAACAGTCATAGAAAATCCTGGGAACTGTTATTTGTTAAGGGTGCTGACCTCAGAGAGCTACGCTTTTCAACACCCTGAACAAACTACAGTTCCCAGGATGATCCATGACGGTTTAAGTGGCATAAGTGTTCTTTAAATGCATGGTGTGCATGTGATCTAAGCCTCTTCATAACCATAAGGCCTTGCAGGGTCCACTTTTGTTGTCCATCTGTTAGTCTCCATGCCACAGGAGAATAATTTAAGTGTGTGTGAACATCTACAAATATCAAGCAGCAGTATCCTAAATGTCGGCACGTCTCCCAGACTGGTATAATAGTTAGTGACATACTTCAACCATCAGTGGTACAGTAAATGGCACATATCCATTCCTTGCATTTGATTGGTTTCTGTTTGAGCAGTCATGGGCTCATTCATCTCATTATGGAGCTCAGCATCTCCCAGGATTGTTAAGAACTGGTAACTCTGTGAAGTCAGCACCCTTAATGAAGTTAAATCCCTGTGGCAGCAAGTGTGGTATAGCAGCTAGAGTGTCATACTAGGACCAAGAAGACCAGGCTGAAATCCCCACTCAGACATGAATTTCAGTGGGTGACTTTGGGCACTCACTGTCTCTCACCCTAACCTTCCTCGCAGGGTTGTTCTGGAAATTAAATGAGGACAGGGAGAACCAACTATACTAACTCGAACTCCTTGGAGAAATCAGTGGGATATAAATGAAATAAACCAATAAATATATTGTTAAAGTAGCACAATAGTTCTCTAAATGTATGGTGTGGATGTGAGCTAATAAAAGGCAATACCCAGTGCAGAAGCTTACAAACCAATTCCCACTGGTAAGTGTTTGGAATACCATTATAGAGAGTGGAAATGTCCCCTGGTTCCTGGAATTCCATGTCCATGATCTGCTCCAGGAAAAATTTGTCCTTCACCATGTAGTCCATATCTTTGTATCTCTAAAGGGTGGAGAGAGTGAGGAGACAATTAAAAGTGAAAGAAATATGTCAGTACAAGATGACTCACTTATAATTCATTTCCAAAACAGCTGGGCCTGCACGAATGCACAAAGACAAGGGGAAAAACATTAACTAAGGGTACTGTCACATGGCAGTTTACTGTGGACTCAAGTGTTGCTGCTCATGTAAAGAAGCTGTGGGCTGCATCCACATGACATCACCATCAAAATGCCTTCCTATATTATGTTACAAAAGCCTGGTGCCTGCCCCCTCTCTCTGCCAAGCAGTGGCCAGAGCGCATGGGATCACAGGCACCCACACAGGGTCTGTGCCCCTTTGGATAATAGAAGACACTGTGGAGATGATCGTGCTTTAAGAAATAGGGTTTATTTGCCTATTTACACCCTCAGTCTGCATGGAGGGGGTCCAGATCTTACAGCATGGTCCAAGGCATTGCAGGCAGTCCTCCCTCGCCAAGATAGATCTCAGCCTTCCTGCTTCCCAGAAGCCCCTTGCCCTGCCCCAAGCAGTTACCATGACAACCATCCAAATCTCCAGTCTCTGATCACACCTGGAGCAAGATGTTCCATTGTCTTGTTAACGACCACCATGACTCTCTTAACAGCCCTGGTTTGGCTAGGCTACCCTCCTATTATTATTTTAAGAAGACCTGATAGACCACCCAGGCAGTGGTCCATCTCTACCTTCCTCATCTGAGTTATCATTGGCTTGCTTGGCAGAAAGAGCCCCAGTGAGTAAGCAAGCAGTGACATCTTATGCTCCCCCTCACCATTGTCTGGGTCAGAATAAAAGGTGAGCGAGCAATGGTGGAAGAGCAGCTCCAAGAGGTTCTTGTCAGTGGTCCCTTGGTAGATGCCTGACTATGTTGGTCCTTGACACTGGCCCCCATTATTTGCATATAAAGCAAAACACTTTGTGTAGAACAAACCATGGATACAAATGCCCAGTACAAGAAAAAAGGTGAATAGTAGACAGAGGTAGCCAAAGACTCACATGTTCAAAAAAGGAGACCAGAAAGCGGTTCAAGGCAAAGTAGCCATTTAGTCTCTGTTTGTGAAGGTCAGGTCGGATGTGGGCTCCTCTGGGAACCTGTCACAGAAAAAGTGCACAGACTTTTAAAGTTTGTGCCAGTTACTTGGCATTCCCAATTGAAGAGGTTTTTTTTAAAATACATCTATTTGTTTTCACTCAGATCTTGCCTTTGGCAGCAGGGATCTTGGCTCAATTTTCACCTGCTGTTCTGGAGCGCTGGCTTCCATGCACAGACAGAGTTTTAAATTAAAAAGTGGAGGGGGAAACGGGAGGGTTGCCTGTAGCCTAGCAGGCTGCTGTTCCTTGAAGGAGCTCAGCAAAAGAAAGCTCAACTAAGGTTAGCTTTTGATCAGGAAGTGAAAACAACCAAGTTTTGTGGCACCCTGAAGACTGTGGGGAGCATCCCAAAGGCCAGACAGAGAGTCCCAGAGTCTGCATGTGGCCCCCGGGCCTGACAGCTTCCACCCTCAAAGGCATCATCATTTCTAAGTAATACTTTGCCCAGCTGACCAATATCTTTGTCTAACAATTACTGAGAAAATAGGATTAGGTACTGTACCTCCATGAAAGATAGAGTTATTCTGTCATAGAATGCTCGAGTCCTGTCAGTAAGAAGCACCTCAAATGTTTGCACATCAGAGTAGGCCTCCAGGCCTCTCAGAGCACAGAGGTTCTCCTGTAGAGAGAACCAATGGAAGGGGTGGAAAGAATAATAATTGGGAAGTACAAAGCATAAATATCAGAGATCTCTTCTGGAGAGGGAGGGAGAGACGTTTCTTTGACTAAGGGTGTGTTCACATTACCACCTTAAAGCGCGGTGAAGTTGTTCCCTGCCCCCTGCACATTTCACAGCTCTTTACCCCCTAGTTGGTCACATCAACAGGGCTTTATTTATGTCAGATTTGTTTCTGTAGACACTAGGCAGCGTTGACTGGGCAGGGGATGTCTTGACCCTCTGCCAAGATGTTCATACAAACAGCTTAAGGACTAGGCCTAAAGCGAATTTGAGAAACAATTCATCTAGCATTTTATAACAAAGTACAGGATACATATGCCTTTGAGATAACGTCAAGTGAACATGGATTAAAACCCAGCACCAGAAATGCAGCGAGTGCCCAGGAAATGGGAGTGTGAATAGAGCCATAGAAACCTTGCCCCATGCCTTATTTTTGCACAAGACCTAGTGGAATTGATAACAATGTTCCTATTATTGGGGGCGGGGTGATGGGGTGACTATAAAATCCACAAGTTCTACCTTTCAACTCCCCCCAGTTTCAGTTGAATCATGATCGCCATAGCCTTGTAAAAATAGTAGCTAATGGGGTTTAAATCCTGACAAGCTCACTTGAAAATGGGCAAATCCAACAGGCAGACATAGCCTTCCCAGGTGCACAAAGTAATTGTCATAAAGAGAAAGGACAGATAGATGGACCAGTAGACACTATTACCTCCTCCTTCCTGATATAGGTGAGCATGGTGTCCATGCCCACATCTGCTTGTCCATGGACACTTCTCCCATGGATGTAGAAGCCATAACATCTGTGTGTCAAAATGAACACTGACACCTAGAGGGACAGGGAGAAGCAAATGAAGCACGCAACCATTTATCAAATGGGCAAATACAGTTTCAGAACATGTTTGAACACGATTGTAATCAAAACTTGTTTACAGATTAACAATGGCACAATTAAGACTCCCCTCTAGAGCAATTCAACCACACCCAACATATCTGGGCCTTTTGGGGGCAGGTGCCCCAGTTACGGAATGTCCTCTCCCCAGGCAGACGAAGACTTTAAAAAATCACCCCTCAATCATTTTAGTATGGTTTTAATTTACCAATGATCAGATGGCTTTCATACTGAATGCATTTCATCTGCTGATTTTACCTGGTGTTGGTTTTTACTTTGCCCCAGTGCTTTAATGCTGTTGTTGTTTTAAGAATTTTAAAATTTGTTTTCCTATTATTACTACTACCACAACAAATGCTACCAGCACCAGCAGCTTTGGAAATTCTATTCAAATTGAGCAGCAAATTGTAAATACACTGAATAAACTAATCAGTTATGAGTCACTAGAAGGCCTGTATACTTGATTTGTTCTGATAATACCCTGCTTGCCGATCTTGGAGCAAGATAGCTAACAGACTGGTCTTGTGGTGACTTTGGCTAATGGCACATGGCCAAACTTTTATCTCTATGCAGCTCAGCCAACTGTTGCTCTGCACAGTTTTGTTATTGGCTTGTCTTATGATTGTGATTTTCATATTTATTTATTACATTTGTATGGTTCTCTTCCCCTGACATTTTATCCTCACAACAACCCTGTGAGGTTAGGCTGAGAGACAGTGACTAGCCCAACGCCACCCAGTGAGCTTCATGGCCAAGTGAGGATTTGAACCCTGGTCTCCCAGGTCATCTTCTAACCACTATGCCACACGGGTTCTCATAGCATTCAAATAAAATTATAAAATTTTATTATTTTAATGAAGGTGTATTTTTTGTAATCCACACTGGGACCATTTGGTGAAGGAATATAGTAAATAAGTACATGAACATAAACTGCTTAGCAGTTTGAATGATTAAGCTGCACTGTATAGAAATCCTGTTAAATAAATATAATGCGACTCACATTGCTCAGGGAACAAAGATCAACAAACTGGTGAATCTTGTCCTCTACAAACCGCTCATATAACCCAACAGAAAACAGCACCTGTTTAAAACAAAAATGCACGCTACCTATAATCACCCTGTAATTATGGTAGGCAAGAGCACACAGTAGTTTCCTCATCAGCAGCAATACTCAAAGGGTGCCTCATTTTACAGGAGGGGTTCAAGCGCATACTGGAAACTTAGATTTGCGCAATTAAAGTGCTCTGTTAGGCTGCCAAGGATGGCTGCTTCTCTCATTTTTGTGTTATGCCACGCTCCCCATGGCAACCATTTTGTGTTTTGCCACAACCTCTCCATGGCACCCATTTTGTGACTGACACCCCAAGCCGGCACTCTTTCATAATCCAAAATGTGTCCACTAGTCCGAAAGGTTGGCAACCTTGGCCTTATTTCTTAATATAGCAAATGAGGTCTTTGAGGGTGTCCCACAACATGCACATGATAAGATTGCTCACTTCTTTTGTCATGTTACCAACCTAAGGACCTTTCAAAAACGGTTAGCTATTGCTCTTGATTTTGCATTTGTTACATTTTTCCACACTAGCACTTAAGGAAGAGGAGATGTAGAATGACCTAGATAGCCCTTTATTCTAATACATCATCAAGGATATATTCATATATATATATATATACGAAAGCATATATATATATATATATATATATATTCATATATATATATATATATTCTTAGGCTGTGTATACACTATACCTTGGAAACACATTCTTTCCCTCAAACAATTTTGGGCACTGTCATTTACTCCTCACAGAGCACAATTCCCTGAAACCCTTAACAAACTACAATGCCGTAAATTCTGAGAGACAAAATGTGCTTCAAATATGCTTTTAAGCTATAGTGTGTACGCAGCTTTAGTTAAACCAAACTCAGTGAGAAAGATCACCTGTGCAATCCCCACTGCCAGCCAAACAGAAGCAGCAATCCCAAAGCGAAGAATTGGGCTCCAAAGAGCATGATAGGCATTTGGTCCCGGGTGCAGATTCACATTCAGGTCTCTTGATGTGAGATTTTTAAGCCCCACCACCTAGAAATTAAAAGAAGCCTGTTTGGTCCCCACTTCAACAGAACATAGTGGGATATGGGCCTAAGTCTCTTCTCAACCTCACTGAGTGGGCCCAGGGGTATGGCTCCCCCACCCCCCATAAAACTGGATTGATTACATAGTCATAAGAGTTGAGAGGGCTGCTGAGTCAACCACATTGTAATTTGGAGAATTAAAAAGCTTTAGAAATGCCCAATTTATAAGTTACATGAAGACACTGTAAGGTCATAGGTTAGGCCCATGGTTTATTTTATTTTCCTTTCTTTAAATATTTTTAAACTGCACCGCCATATTAAAAAAAATTGCAAGGTCTTATAAAAACTAGAAGTACAGTAATTATTTTAAATTGTCTTTACTGTGTCAAACACTTCAGTAAAAACTGATGGGCAAAGGGTGATGTGGTGTTGGCCAACAGTTTAAATATCTTAACAAAGGGGATCAGACAAATTAATGTAGGCAGAGGGGCCTACCAAGGATTATTAGTCATGATGGCCCTATGTGGTGTAATGTTGGAAAATGTCAATCACTTCTCCTACCTAGGCAGTTATCTTTCCACAAGGGTCAACACTGATGCCGAAATCCAGCATCACCTGAGCTCTGCGGGTGCGGCTTTCTCCCAATTGAAGTGCAGAGTGTCTGAGGACCAGGACATTCGCAGGGAAACCAAAATGCTTGTTTACAAAGCTATTGTACTACCAACCTTGCTGTATGCTTGTGAAACATGGGCCACTTACAAACACCATCTCCACCTTCTCAAAAGATTCCATCAACGGTGTCTCCGAAAAATCTTACACATCACTTGGGAAGACAGGCGAACTAATATCGGTGTACTGGATGAAGCAAAAATCACCAGTGTTGAAGCAATGATTCTTCAACATCAACTTTGTTGGACTGGTCATGTTGTGTGGATGCCTGATTATCATCTTCCAAAGCAACTACTCTATTCTGAACTTAAAAATGGAAAGTGTAATGCTGGTGGTCAACAAAAGAGGTTTAAAGACTGTCTCAAGGCAAATCTAAAAAAAGTCGTATGAACACCGACAACTGGGAAACACTGGCCTGCGAGCGCTCCAGTTGGAGAGCAGCCTTTACCAAAGGTGTCATGGACTTTGAAGACACTTGAACTCAGAACACAAGGGAGAAACGTGCTAAGAGAAAGGCACGCTTGGCAAATCCACACCATGATCAAATCCCGCCCGGGAACCAATGTCCCCACTGTGGAAGGATGGGTGGGTCCAGAATTGGGCTCCACAGTCACTTACAGACTCATTGTTAAAACAATCTTACTCGGCTACAAGTGATCGCCAAAGAAGAAAGAAGATGATGATGGCAACCTAGCTGTCCTGCCTTCTAGCTTCTTCCTCCATTAGTCTCAGTGTTGCCCTTGTGGAATTTAGCATGTTACCTCTGCCTGTCCTGGCTCTGGCTCCACTTACTGCTGGTCTCCCTGCCTTCTACCCTACCAGTCCAAATGGACACTTCCTCTCCTCCTGCCTCTGAGCTGGCCCTTAGAAAATCTAACTGTCTTCAAGTTTGGCAGAAGTTTTTGCACCCCTGGTGATCTGTGCAGAAGGTTGTGCACGCTGTGGTCATAAGTATATTGTATCAGTGACCTTGAGAAAGAGCAAAGTTATCAGTTGCAGAGCACAGAGACTGCACAGCAGATACTTTCTTTCCTTAATCTCTCTCTCTCTCACCTCCAGTAGCAGCAAGACGGCAAACAACTGGAGTGTAGGGTTCACTTTTCTGTGGGTCTGGATCTCGTTCCACTCATTAGCGATCAGAAAAGTTCTCCAGGCACTCACAGAGGAAGTAGCCTTCTGATATCCTGAAGCAGGGGAGGGAGGTTAAAACACACACACAATGAAGCTGAAACAATTGGCTTTATTTGAAGACTCCACACGAGCTTATCGGATTCTTGGCAAAGTGCAAAGCTCAACGCCCCTGGGTTTCCTTGAGCCCTTGCTTATGTTAATTTACCTCTCCTGATATGAAATCATTACAATCTGAAGCAAGCTTGCTTCCTGGAACAGGCTCCTGCTGATTTCCCAGAAGAACCGAGGGCCTCAAAGTGATTTGCCAACACTAATTAAACAAGCAAGTATCACACAACAGCTGTGCGAATGTGCTGTAGGTAACATTGCCCTCATTTTCCTGGGAGTCAAAGCTTTAGATCTTCAAGAACATCCTCCGGTAGCCAGCACACGGTGTCAAACGTTTCATGCTCCATCCCACAAAATGCTAGGAAGCCCCATGGCCACCCCTTTTTGCCTGAATACAATAGTAGGTGGAATGAAAGGGCATGTGGAGGGATGCAAGATAAGATGGGGTTTACTTTTGGCTGTGTTTTAAACTAAAATGGCTGAGCATAACCCTGGAACTGGAAGCAGTCACAGGACACTGGGAGGGAAAGCCATCGGATGATTCTTCCTAGCTAATCAGAGATTTGTAGATGGAGCACTGATTGGCATGCTGCCCTAGCAGATATCCTCCTTGGCTAGCCCTAGATCATGGGTAGCCAGTGAGGTGCTTTCCAAATACTGCTGGATCACAATCAGTCCCATCAAGTATGGCCATTGATCAGGGATAATGGGAGTTGCAGTATAGTCAACTTAAACCTTGTGGGGGGTTACACTTCAAGGATGGTACATATACACAAAAACATGTACAGTCAAACCACCACCTAGGAACCACCCCTACACAAACATCCTTACCTTTCTAGAGCCGGCATAGCAAACAGGTCTTACCCGCCAAGCGAGGCAGAACTCTCTTACAGGGCTCTAGGAGGCTATTTAGAGATCTCTCAAGGCGCCCGAGTTCCCACAAGATCTCCAAAAGCCCAGTGAGCAAGGTAGACAGCTTAAGAGCTCTTTCCACACCAGGAAAACACTGCACAAGAAATGCTTTTAAGCTCTCCGCCCCCTGTATGTTTAATTTGTGCGATTTTAGCTGGCTGGCCACCAAGTGAATAAAGCAGAAATCATGCAAGTTAAACATATGCAAGATGCGAGTTGGCTGTACAACCATGTCTGGAGAGCACCACTTTGTCTATACGTGCTCTGCACAGAGATGGAATGGAGAAAGTGGACAGAGACAAGTTTTGCACCCTCACTCCTAACACGACAATGTGTGGACACCCAATGAAGTTGGGTATAGCGTATAGTTTAACCGTGGAATTCAGTCCCACAGGAGGCACTGATGGCCACAAACTTGGATTACTATTAAAAATGGATTAGACAAATGTATGGAGGTAAAGGCTATCAATGGCTACTAGCCACAATTAGCTATGTTCTGCTTCCATGGTTGGATGCTTTCTTTTGTCTGTTTTGAAATTTCCAACATTCAGTTGCTGCCTTCAGATCACAGCCTTCTTACAGCCCTATACGCAACCTATCAGAAAACAAAGGCAAACTTTTACCCATAGATGCTTTTGCTGTTCCTCTCTCCTTTGGCTTCTCCCAGTCTATCAGGAAGATAGAAACTGTTAACTGGGTTATCAGAATATGTATGAGGTCCAAGCTCTGGAACAAAATCATCCACAGAGGGTTATTTCTCAGTGATGCAAATATAGGTTGTCCAGAGGTTTAGAGTGTGACGTTCCCAATAGCAGCTCTCAAATCACTGGCCCCAGTGTCTTAGGCAGAGGCGTACTCCAAGCCTGAATGCCAACGGTCCCTTTAAATTCAGCACCCTATGGCAGGGTTTACGGCAGAATCAGACTTTTGTATCTGGCCCTTGGAACTCTCCCCAGAGTGTCTCCTAAAAACGTACCCCTCAAGTGTCAAAGGCCACAGCAAAGAGGTGCCTCTCTACCCTGGAAACATGTGGCCCTCCATATGCTTTTGGACTAAACCTCCCACTGTGCCCAGCCTGCATGGCCAATGGTCAGGAAGGATGGGAGTTGTAGTCCAGTAACATTTGGAGTGAGTCAGGTTTCCCTACTCGAAATTACAACAAAATAATGTAAGTTAAGCCATTCTGAACACTAACATGGTATATACCTTATTTTCTAGTGTATAACACACCCCCCCTCGTGTATAAGATGACCCCTATTTTTTGGGACCGCAGCAAAAAAAAATTAGGGGGAAATCGTCCAAAGTTGTTGATCTTTTTTGGGAGGGGGGCACAGCCGCCAATCGCTCTACAGCCTGCCCGCAAATGCAAATCGCACGCATCACTGCGGCAAACAATCGTCTGCACACTCACCGTCGAAAACCCAGCAGCACACTCAACACAACCACAGCCGATTGCATGCATGCCTCACTGCTACTGTTAATAGCCCGCCCAATTGTCAAAGCCGCAGCTAATCATCAGCACGCCTTGCCGCAGCAACCTATCACACGCACAATCACCACAGATAATTTCCTTTATAAGACAACCCACAATTTTAGCTGATTATTTCTAAGGAAAATATTAAGCACGGAAAAATACGGTATTTGCAAGTGAACTACAGACATCTTTTGAAAAAAGCATTAAGTGAAATAACAATAATAATAATACTACTGCAGGGGGTTGGACTAGATGACTCTTTTGGTCCCTTCCAACTCTACCATTCTATAAATAAGCAGCAGTGGCAGAATGAAAACAACAGCAGCCTGAATAAAGAGGCTGGGTTAAATAAAAACTGCTGTTACCCAGGACCTAAGGTTTGTTTTCTTTTTAAACCTATCACTTTTTACCTGCTAGCAAAAGACTCACAGAGGTACAACTCCCAGGGCCGCTTGGAGGAAAGTGATGCCAGTTGAACTAAATTAGGTCTACAGCCTAGACATGCTCTCCAAGGAGCTGTGTCAGTCTGTCTCAGTCTTGCTAAAGCAACTGATGTTCTTCAAGTCCCTTGAATTATTAAGCAGCATGATATTTCCATCCAGGTTAGGGCAGCCCTAACAACCTTTCCCGTCAGTGTTTTTTGTTGTGATTACGTATGCCATCTTTTAAAACTTTGACATTTCTCTGTGAGATGCAATGCCAGAGCCATCTCAAACACCCAGATCTCCCAATGTTCTTACCTTTAACACAAGAGCAGACAACAAGTAAATGATAAAGTTGGTCTCTATTTGGCTCCCAGCAGTGGGCAGTGTCCTCTCAACTGCAGAAAATTGCTGACCCTGGAAGAAGGACTGGAAATGAGGATGGACAAGAGAAGGCCTTTAAAAGGTAAAGGGACCCCTGACCATCAGGTCCAGTCGTGGCCGTCTCTGGGGTTGCGGCGCTCAGCTCGCTTTTATTGGCCGAGGGAGCCGGCGTACAGCTTCCGGGTCATGTGGCCAGCATGACTAAGCCGCTTCTGGAGAACCAGAGCAGCGCACAGAAACACTGTTTACCTTCCCGCTGGAGCGGTACCTATTTATCTACTTGCACTTTGATGTGCTTTCGAACTGCTAGGTTGGCAGGAGCAGGGACCGAGCAACGGGAGCTCACCCCGTCGCGGGGATTCGAACCGCCGACCTTCTGATCGGCAAGTCCTAGGCTCTGTGGTTTAACCCACAGCACCACCTGCGTCCCTCTGAAGGCCTTTACCTACTGACAATTCTTCAGGGCTTAGAACTCATAATCGCTTTGCAATTAGGTAATGGCTGTTCCAGCACAGAACCTGCAACCTCATTAGGGGCACAAACTGAGAACCAAACTCAGTAGTGGAGTGCATGCTTTGCATACCAAAAGGCTCCCAGTCCAATCCCTGCCATCTCCTGTAAGGCTGAGAGAGACTGGATAACTGCTGTCAGCCATTCTTGATACTACTGAGCCACTAGATGGACCAGCATGGGCGTAGCCAGAATTTTTGCTGGGGGAGGGGGCAGCTACGCCCATGTGGACCAGTAGTCTGACTCTTGAAAAGGTAGCCTCCTATGTTTCAAGTACACTGGCTATTACTGATTTGGCTGGAAAGAACACAGGAAGCTACCTTAAACTGAATATAGCTATTGGCCTGTTGTGCTCAGTATTGTCTACTGGAAATGACTCTCCGGGATTTCAGACAGGAGTCTTGCCCGCTCTGCCTTGAGATGCTGGGGACTGAACAGGAGACTTTCTGCAAGAGCTACACCTCTTCCCCTCCAGCGGCATCTGACATCACCTCCAAGTGGAAGAAAGATGCAGTGCAGATACCTGCAGGAATATTCTAGTTCCGAGAGTTACCGGTACTTACCTTGAAAACTATGAGCCAATAAATGCCAATTCCAAGGCTGACCATGAAAAAGACATTTGCTAGAGATCCGCTGAAGTTGGCAAAGAATTTCACTATGACCTGCAGGAAAATAATTTTGTTTCAAGAGGGAAGAAAATATTGAAGGAAAAGAGAGACTGCACTGCAAATGGAGCAAAATGGAAACTGCACTATCATCTATAGCCAGGTTTCTGCTAGCAAAGTGTAAACAGGCAGAAATATACCTGCCATGTCTGCCCAACAAAGGAAGAGGAAATCGAGCAACACACCATTCTTGGGACTGCAAGAATTTCCAGCAGCTCACCCATGAAAGGAAAACTTACCATAAAGCTTATGTTTGGAAGTCGAGATCGCCGGGTCCAAGTGCTGGTCTCTAGCAAGGCATAGATGATTGCAAGGAATCCCAGGGCTCCAAATGCAATCTGTCAAGAGAGAGGGCAGGGATGGAGGACAGTAGCAGGTGTGTCATCCATAGGGACGAGTGAACCGGTCTTGTTTTGGGTTTTTTCTGTTTCTCATTTTTCCATTCTTCAGTTATCCTCTCCACATTGGTTTGCAAATTCTTTCTTTTTAAAGTGCTCAATAAAATGCACCACCATTTTAGTGTGAATTTCTCCAAATATACACATTTTTGCTAAGCACTTTTTCCTAATATAATGCAATTTTTTGTATGTTATTTTCACTAGTCTGTCTATGGGCCCATGAAAGCTTAAGCTGCCCTAAACCTATGAGTCTGCACAGCAAACCCAAGAAGAGCGTCTTAAAGACTAAACACAGCTACCCTTCTGGAATCCTGCCATGAGAGTTACTCACATCTGTAGCTTGCTGAGCCGTTCCAGGATCCTGGATATAAGAGACTGAAAATGACACCTGAAAAGAAATAGCACAACAGAGAAGTAATAACAGGAAGAAAGCAGGCCTGTTAGCTGCAGGCTGTGGGCACAGCTTCAGCTGACGTCATTATTGTCAGAAGCTTTGGAAAACATCGTGCAAAGTTTGGGTAAGCTGGCAGAAGACATAATCTGAATCTCTTTGGGATCTTCGCACTCTTGAAACCCTGGAAGCTCTTGTAACCCATTTCAAACTGTTATTAAACAACCTGTCTGATTCTGCATGCATTTTTCTTTTTGCAACATGCACGTGAGAACCGTGTGGAGTGCTACTGTTCAGTGTTCCAGCCAGCAAGGCCCTTGCCCTGGATACTCCATTCCATTTCCCCATCCCAGTTTTCTTTCCCCTTGCCCCCAACAGCCAGTCACAATTCCATGCCCACAGAGCGTGCCTAGTTTTTCATTGGACTGTTGTTAACTTTTGGGGGTCATCCCTCTTAAGCATTCTTCCCCCCCACCACCACCCCAACAAGCTTAAAGTTCTTCTAAGCCTGTTAATACCTCTGGCTTGAGCATGATTGGTGCCATTTTGGCTAGGGAAGTATCCACACTCAGCATTAGTATATTTATACCAGATTTTCCTCTTCTGCATATGCAAGAAACAGCATCCTTGCCATGCTACGTTAACAGAAATAATGGCGGGCTCATTTCTCAGTGACTTTGTCCATCAGTGTTTCCCCTTGTTTAGCAAACCACACTGTCAGAGACAGCATTTCTCTCCTCTTGCTGAAAACCCATCACACCAAGTAAATCAATGAGACTGCAGAGTCGAAGCCAAGTAGCAAAGGGAATCCTCCTGTGCTGCGCATAACCAACTTGAGTTGTAGGGGAACAGCAGAGTATGCAAAAGGAAGGAGTGAGAGCACCGACTGTAGATGGGCAGGCAGGCAAGAGAAGGAGGGAGACTCAAGGGACAGAGAGCTGCATGCTGGATGAAGCTTAAAGGTTTTGGGTCTGATGGTGCTTCCAGACAACCAGTTTACTGGTTGGGAGATTATCTGCAGGGAGATTAGACAACATTGGCTTTTTAATGACCATTCATTCTAATTTTGTTGCAGGGGGTTGGATAGCATCAAAGCAGGTGTTATCCCACACTTACGAGTGCATTTCCCCTCACACTCCTTATTGCAAGAAGCCTGACATTTTGGAGGAAGCAGGTTTGTTGCACATGACTCTCAATCAACTTTAATTTGGACTATAGGAAGCTGATTTATACTGAGTCACACCAGTGGTCCATGTAGCTCAGTTTTGTCTACTGGTAGGGTTTCAGGGAGGGAGTAGGAATTAAGAGTTATCCCCTGGACTGATTGGGGGCCTCCCCAGTGTGGATCTGATCTTCGTTTGCCCATTAGGATCAGAAGAAGACATATGAAGTGCTCTGGGGGATAGTCCAGCCTCCTGTTCTCACAGTAGCCAACCAAGTGCCTGCAGGATGTCCACAAGAAGTATCTGAAGGCAACAGCTCTTCCCCCACTTGTGATTCTCATGCTGCCTCTAACAGTGAAGGCAGAACATGGCCATCACAGCTAGTATCCATTAAGTCTTATTTATCCTCCACAAATCACCTGTACGCTCTTAATCTACTAGAAGTGGCTCTTTGGGGTCCTGGGCAGAGAACAGTCTTTCCCATCACCTGCCAGCTTTCCCTGCCCCAAACTGAAGATCCCAGGGATTGAACTTGGGACCTTCTGCATGCAAGGCAGCTGCTCTACTGCTGAGCTACTACAGCAGACATGGCCTTGCTTAGCCAACCTTGTGCTGCCTGTTTCCTGGGTGACTTCTCATCTGACTGGCAGAGGCAGCTTCCTTGCAGGGGGAGAAGCAGGCCAGCATCCAGGCAGGTGGGCGCCTTTGCTTTCAGCCCTGACAATCTCCCAGCACAAACCCGGTTCTAATTAACACCTGCTGAAGCAACAGCTGCTGGAGGGAAGGGGAAAAGAAGGGGGGGGAATGGAGCCAGCCTTATTGTTTCAGCTGCTGCTGCTGCACACATGTATTTCTCTCCCTCCTGGAAGAGCAGCTGTGGGTGAAGGGGAGGACTTGAGGCCCCCCCCTTGCCTGAGCGACTCCAGTGCTGCTCCGCGTTGAATATTTCACTGTCAGCAGGAAAGGGGGGTTGTCTCCTCCAGGAGTCCCGGTTGGCAGGTATACACTGTATAAGCCAGGAGAAAGGAAGAGGGAAAAGAAGGTTAACTGGAGGACAAAGCCAGTAATTAGAGGAAGGAGTGATGAATCGCTCTGCCTCTGCAGAGAAAACGAGTTGCAGCGGAGGAAAAAGGTGCTAATTGGGCAGAAGGGAGCCAAGGTCAATGTACTTAAAACATGCAGAATCGGAGGATGCTGGTGGGTCCAGCACAGATGCCTTAGGGCAGCAGGGGTGGGGGAGCTTATCCAGCCCAAAGGGTCATGGCTCAGTGGCAGAGTATCTGCTTTGCATGCAGAAGGTCCCAGGTTCAATCCCCACCATCTCAAGGCAGGGAAAGACTGCCTGCCTGAAACACTGCAGGACCACTGCCAGTCAGTGTAGACAATACAGAGATAGATGGAGCAGTGGGTCTGACTCAGCAAGCAGCGTCCTGAGTCACGCCAGGCAACCCAGCCCCCGCATTTTTGGCATTCTATGACGCTGAGGTGGGACTCTTTCCAGAAAACCTGCTCCCCACCCCCAACATCCAGATCAGCACCTCCCAGACCTCCAGGCCTTTCCCCAGGGTGCAACTTCACCCTCTAGTCCCAATCCGCCTCCCCTTGTAATTATCAGCAGAGGAAGGCATAAAGGAGGTCCAGTGAGGATGCCTGTAGGGCTGCATTTGGCCTGGAGGGGGCAATCTGAGAAGTCAAATTAATTGCGTAAATGCAGCTTATCTGCATATTTCTTGCTATGTAAATAGCATCCTTGAGGCTGGCGGTGGTGGGGAGGGAAAATTTAACACAAACTCCCCACCTGGGTGCCAACAAAAATAATCTCTCTGAAGCAGCTGATTGCATTTCAAGGAAAACTCTTGGGAGCCAGTGGGCGATGTCCTCAAAAGACAGGATTTCCTCAAAGGAAAGGTAATCATCAGGACTACAGCAGAGAGGAAAGGGTTAAACTCTCCCTCTTTGCTTGTTGAGAGCCTAATAATGACCACACACACACACACCAGCTGCTATTTGCATTTCTAAACAAACAAACAAACAAACAAACAAACAAACAAACAATGCTTGTTACATTTAGCCAAGACACAAGCCTTGTTTGTCCCAGATATGCCAAAACTAACTGCTTATTCCCCTCTATTTTAATGTAAGAATCAGGGATTTTTGCAGCGGTTAAAATCCACACAATTTCCTGATTAACCTACCCATCAAGACAAGACCTTCAAGGAAGATTAAAATGGGTAGGAGATCTGATTATTGAACTAACTGCAGGAACACTCATTCTCCAAATCCCTGCCCCGCACTCCGCAAGCGCAATTGCAGCACATGTCTATGCTTTACTACTACTACTACTACTACTACTACAAATACTACAACTACTACAACTACTACTATTACCTGAGGATCAATTCTGCTGCAAATGTAACAGTTGCTGGGACATTTGTCAGGTTTACTTTTCTGCCAGAGAGCCCGTCAACCAGAAAGAATCTTCGGAGATGGGATGCTGGAAAAATCATTGGGGGGGGGGTGGAGAGCAAAAGCTTTATATGCTCTTTATATGCTGAAGTCTCAGCCCTTTGCGCCATTGAGAGGAAAATAATGAAACACAGCATCTGACAAAGATGCACTGTATATTGTCTTCTATGTATTGTATGATGCAGTACACAGTATACTGAGTAGTCAATTCTATGTATTCTTTGTAATTAAAGAAAGCATTAAGCCAACACATAGTCGAAATAGGGAAATGGCTCCCACAGGAGACAGTCATGGCCACCAGCTAAGCTGGCTTTAAAAGTGGTTTGCACAAATTCCTGGAGAGTAGGGCTATTGATGGCTAGGCTAGTTATCATGATGTCTATGCTCTTCCTCCACAGCTGGAAGCAGTAATGCTTCCAAATACCAGTTGCTGGAGATCACACAAGGGGACAGTGTTCACGTGCTCAGATCCTGCTTCAGGATTTCCCATAGGTATCTGGCTGGCCACAGTGAAAACAAGATGCTGCACTAGATGGGCCATCGGCCTGATCCAGCAGGACTCTTCTAACATTACTGACTACATCCACATTTCCAGCTCTGCCACACCCACTTCACCATGAAGAGCTGGCCACGAGTCAATGAGGCCCTTAGCCCGAAGAAAAGATTAGCTACCACTGTGGCAGTTTGCAAATTTTAAGCCAAATAGGATGTGTGTACACATTGCCAGCTTAGGATGCAGCTAGGTTGTTATTTCCCCCAATTTGGATTAAAGTTGTGGGGAGGTTCTTTTGGGGGGAGGGGAACATATATCTAAACTCAGTATTTCGCAAGAAAGGTAAAGGTAAAGGGACCCCTGGCCGTTTAAGTCCAGTCATGGATGACTCTGGGGTTGCAGCACTCATCTCGCATTACTGGCCAAGGGAGCCGGCATACAGCTTTCAGGTCATGTGGCCAGCATGACTAAGCCGCTTTTGGAGAACCAGAGCAGCGCACGGAAACGCCGTTCACCTTTCTGCCAGAGCGGTACCTATTTATCTACTTGCACTGTTGTGCTTTCGAACTGCTAGGTGGGCAGGAGCTGGGACCAAGCAACAGGAGCTCACCCCGTCGCAGGGATTTAAACCGCTGACCTTCTGATCAGCAAGCCCTAGGCTCTGTGGTTTAACCCACAGCGCAACCCGCATCCCTATTTCATAAGAAACAACAGGATAAATACAGGATCGACATGGATTGGTGGCTAATGTTGTGTGAGGCAGAGTAAACGGCAGCATGTATACAGTCATGGCTTTAGGGAAAACTGTTGTAATGTTACTGGACTCAAATCTGGTGAGTAGGTGTTGAAAAGCTGAGGCTGCGAGGTATGCGTCAAGTATCAGTCTTGTAAACAGCCCCACAAAGTGTTACTAGCCTGCACAACTGTTTACTAGTCTTTTGGGGTTCTGTCCTGTGTACTGGGTGCAGAAAAGGGGTCTTTCCCTCATTTGGCAGCTGGCTTGCTTTCACAGAGTGGGAGAGCACTTCATTCCTCTTCCTTCACCACCAGCCTACTCACTCACCTGCATGCAATGCTTCATTGCCCTTATGTACAGCCTGCTGCAAATACATTGCCAGAGGATGTGTGCTTCGAAAAGGTCGTAAAGATGGCACTAAAAGCTTTCCGCTTTGGAAAAGTGGGGTGAAAGAACTAAAGAAATTAGTTGTGCATCCAAAAGTCAGGAGCACAAAGGCTAAGGGAAGAGAAGAGAAGAGGGGAAGAGACTGAGGAGAGAGAGATGATGAAGGAGAAGTAAAGGCTTGCATGGGTGATAATACCCAAAGCTCCTAACTCTCTAACCCCATCCCTAACCCTCTGAAACATCGTCCTTCAAAGAATCCTGAGAACTCTAGTTTCTTAAGGGTGCTGGGAACTGCCACTCTATGATGGGCAAGCTACAATTCCCAGGATTGTTGGGGGAAAGCTGAGTGCTTGAAATGTGTTCTAAATGTATGGTGTGTGTACACAGCCAAGGAAAGGCTCACCTTGGTTGTTTGTGCGTATTGCTGGATTCTCTACAGGGACCGGCCACAGTCGGGCATGTCCTTCTTCATCCTCAAACTGTAAGAACATCTCATAAAAGACAGGTTCAGGGACACCTTGCAGTAGGGCCGAGACGTCAAGGGTACACTATAGAATGGAAAATTATTAGATACTACCACATATCTCTTCACTGTGCCAAAAAAAGAGTCTGCATGGGAGAGGGTGAATCCATTTACTCTTCTGAGTCGTCCTTATTTACTCAGTTAAAAAAAGAACAACATAGATTAGAACACGAGCCGCCCCATGCAAAAATGAATTAAGCCTGCAGTTCTATACACAGCAGTCACCTTCACTGAAAAGAGTGTGATTTAGCTTTAAGGAGAGGGGATGCCACAACAGTCAGGGTTCTCTGCCATAACATATACATAAGTGAGATGAGTGTTGTAAAAACACTTCGCACAGACTCTGATTCAAATGAATTATTACAGCAATGGCTCAAGGCTGCAACAGATGCCAGTTTTATCACCCACTCATTTCCTTATGTTAAGATGCTGTTTTTCTTCCATATTGCAGAGTAGTGTTAAACCTATCATTGCCAAGGGTAGGGAATCCCAGGCCCTGGGGACAGGCGTCTCTCTCCAGCCCTCAGAACTTTCCCTGGGCCACACACCCTTCCCCCTGCTTCACACCCTCCTTTTTGCCTGGCTAGAATGTGTCCTTGAATTCTGATCATGGCCCCTGTTTGTCTGGACGGAGGACAGAGAGGTGTGTGGCAGTAGAAACTAGCCTACTGTACAAAGGTAATATTTACATCTGTTGCCCTGCCCACTTTTGCCTCTGACTCCTCCCACCACCCACCACTGGCATCTGGCCCTTGAAATGCTTTCCAGATTGGAATGAAGCCATTGGGCTGAAAAGGTCCCCCCCCCAAAAAAAAAAAATCTATGCCACAAAGCAGAGCTTTCCAAACTGTGTGTTAGTGTGTCGGCTGCAATGTTGCACAAACACTTCCCACACTCTTCCCAGGGCTGGAAAGGGATTAGTTTAATCTCCGGTTTGCTGGCAAAACTGAATTACTGTGTCGCGAAATGATGCATGTCTAAAAAGTGTGTTGAGTGCTCAAGGCAGTCGCCTCACCTTGCCTCATAGGTGGGCCGGTCCTGGTGGGGGCCACACCCACTACTGGCATTCAGCCCCCAGAGAGGTTCCAATGAGGCAATACAAACCTCAGGCTGAAAAAGGTTAGCCACCCCCCTGGGATCTTAGAAGGGGAAAGCTGTCTTGCACTAAAGCCAACACTTACAGACTGGCTGTATGATGTTCCAAACACAAAGGCAGCATCCATGACACTCTGTCTGTCTGGGCAGAGCTAAGAAGATGGAAAGAGAAGAAGAGGCAGAAATTGCACACAGCCATAATTTCCTACTTTTTCTTCCCAAATGCCCATGAAACGAACATGCAAATCCTGCTAATTATACGTGTTAAACTAGTATGCTGCACTGAGATAAGCTGAGACCTATATTAAATTTTAAATTATGTTATCCAGTCCTTCCTTCAAGGAGGGCAGAGAATACACACAGTATCATTTTATTCTCAGAACCATCCTGTGAAAGGAGGTTAGTTGCTGAGGAGCTGCCCCAGGGAACTTGCTGGCCAAGATATGAAGGTGGCTGCTGGCTTAGACCTCTTTCAAACAGGGTTAGAGACATTGATGAAGTGGGGAAGGAGGATGGGGAGGAAGAGAGTAAGAGGTCTATCAGTGGCTGCTGGGCATGATGGTTATATGGAACCTCCAGTTTCAGGGCAGTCTACTAATGAATAACAGTAGCTGAGGGATAAACAGTGGGGGTGACTATATAAAAAAATTCTCCAACCTCTCTTCTAAGCTGACATTCCATTGGAACTGCAGCAAAAACAGCAATGTTGCCGAGAACAGAAAGAAACTGACTCACTTGCAACGTCGCTCCTCTCACATCTTCCCAGCCTAAGAACTTTCCAAGCACATTGTACTTTATGACCTTAAAGTCAATCTGTAGAGATGAGGGAAAAGACAGTAACTGGAGGCCAATGTTCTCAGCCAGCTTCTGTGCACCTTAAAAAGCCCTTCTGCAAAGACAGTCCTATAGTCTATTCAGCTCAATTTTTTTAAAAAAGCTAATAATGACTGGCAGCAGGCTGGACAACAGTAATTAATATCTATAAAGAGAATAAGACCTCAAGCTTGCCTGAGGCAACACATGTCACCCTGGAACGTTTGCGTCATAATCCTAGGTGCTGAAAATGGGCTAAGGTTGTTCAGAAGTCAATGACACTCTGCACATGCTTAGAGACACCCCAGATTGCTTCCAGTTTACTATTGCTGAGTCCCAGAGTTAAGAACAGGTTGCAGAGATGAGCTTTAGCAGCAATTAACCCCCCAACAGTTCTTCCATCCAGGCCCTTTAAACTAAGCAATGTTTTCTCTTGTCACCCGTTACCCCATGTGTTACTGTAATGTGTACACAACCTTAATTTTTGCCCTCTTGCTTGCTTTCTCTGTCTCTGTCTGTTTCTGTGTGTGTGTGTGTCACACACACACACACACACACACACACACACACACAGAGCAAATGCCAGTGTTTGTGCCTGCTTGGACTTGCCTTTGAAGTCTTCCCAAAAACCATCTGAGGGGAAGTTCCTCCATGATTACCGTACCACAGCTTTGGAAGATCTTGGCTTCTGAGAAGAAAATGCAGTGAGGATTTATCTGAGAAGCAGCAATGCTCTCATATGAATAGAAACTTTTAAGGTCAGGCTAAATGTGATGCCAGTTCATACACTACAGTTGTACCTCAGCTCCCGAACGCCTTGGGAGTCGAATGTTTCGGCTCCCGAACGATCGAAAACCAGAAGCGAGTGTTCCAGTTTTCAAACGTTCTTTTGGAAGCCCAATGTCCAACGGGGCTTCTGTGGCTTATGACTGGCTGCAGGAAGCTCCAATCAGAAGCCGTGCTTTGGAAGTCAAACGTTTCAGAAGTCAAACGGACTTCCGGAATGGATTCTGTTCGACTTCTGAGGTACGGCTATATAGCCTTACAGCTGGTATATTTGCATTAGGAAAGAAGGTCCCACAAAATCACCAGCCATGGGGCTCCTCCAGACCGAGACTGCAGCACAGAAGGGGTGGGATTAAGGCCCCACATGCCTACTCCCTATGTGGATCAGGCCCTCCAGATATCCAGTTTACTTCAAAAAAAGCCACACACGCAATATATTACGAGTGGGCTATAAATACCTCCTTGCACCAAGATTGATGGATACTCACTTGGTCTTCATATAGAGATCATAGGCCCGGTTTTGTAAAGAGAAGGCTTCCAAAATGACCATGTTTGTGAGAATTTGGCAGGCCGTCACATTGCAGGTGTTCTAGAGACAAGTAAAACTGAAAAAAGGTGAAGACTTTCCTGCGCAAGAGCTTGAAGGAGAGCTGGAGATACATGAGCACCTAAATCCAGAGAAAAGGCCTTTGCAAGGCCTCCCGGGTCTTGGCATTAAACATTAACACAGATGTCAGATGCAGGAGGAGGAATCTCACAGAATACACACGACAGCTGGGACAGCAGCTTGCAGAAGATGACATGTGTGTCAGTCTGGGGTCACTGACGGAGAATGTAAAGCAGGGGGTGGTGAACTTGAGACCCAAATACAGGACTGTTTATCCAGGCCTCAGAAGTCTTCGTAGGCCGCATTCCCGCCTTGCCTGCCTCCAATCAGTAGAAGTCAGGGCTGAGACTAACAGATAACTTTTAAACTTCACCCACTTTCTGTCCTGCAAGAAGCAGGCATGAGGACTAGTTCCCAGGTCACTTAGACTCCAAAGCCATCCTTGTTAATATGAAGAAACTGTAAGTAAAGAACCTTTATTTCTTTACCAATGGGACCTCTGTGTGTTTAATTTGCTCTCTTGTGATGTGGGCATGTGATAAGAACAGGTGGTGATGTCACTGGGTAGTTCCAGCTTCCAAGCTTTTTAACTCTGCTATAAACCTACCAATTTATTTATTATTTTTTAAAAACCTCAAACTTTGTATCCTCAATGAGTGTTTTTGGCCCGGCTGAAAGGTCCCCTTCAACTCAGGCAGAAAGTTCTAGGTACAGTCCTCAGCATCATCCGTTCAAAGGATCAGGTTGCAGAAGTGGGAAAATATTATATCTGCCAGAAAACCCTTTCCTTACATTTTATAACCCACTTTTCCTACAAGGAGCTCAGGTGGCATACATTATTCTCCCCTCCTCTCCGTTCAGTCCTCACAACTCTGTAAAGCTAGGTTTAGGCAGCAAATTGGTGACTGTCCCTAGGTCACTCAGTGAGCTTCTTAGCTAGTGGGGATTTGAACCCTGATCTCCCAGATCCTAGTCTGACTCTCTAACCACTACTCTATACTCACTAGAGAGCTTCTAGGCTAAACAGACAGACAGCCTGACCTGCTTTATAACAGAATAATGCAATCTGACTAGTGAGTGCAGAGGCATTTTGAGAAGGCAACAGAGCTCTGATCCTGCTCAGAAGCTCATGGGATGGAGCAGGGGAGAGGATTCTTTGTTCTGGGGACATTCCCAGGATAGCACACAAAGCCGCAAAATAGCATAAGTTGGCAATGCAAGGAGGAGGAAGTGGAGCAAAAAACCCCAACCCCACTTACGTTGCAACTCAGGAAACTGTCATCAAGGAACATGGATTCCCAGAGTGTGTTGGGTGGCAGGTTACTCTGAAGGAGAGGAAGGGGCAGAGAGGGGGAGAGGGAAAGTCAGCATTGAAAGAGCCTGCCTGCATATGAGAAAAAAGGAACGGTGAAGGAATGTGTTCTTACACAGCCACGGCAGTCGAGAGGTGATGGCTGCTTATTTGTCTCATTCAGTCCAGCTACACAAACGCACTCCAAGCCTAGAAAGAGGAGGAACACTCAAAAACCTTGCATTGGTTCCTTTAAGGGTCCTTCCTTAAGATCCTGATACATCAAGTGCTTGCAGTTCAAAACTATATTTTTTTATATAAAAAAATCTCCCTCTTGCTTGGCTTCTTAGTTATGGGGATTATTCTTTCCACTGCCACCCTGCTCCCTGCAACTTATTTTATTGCATCCATTTCGCACTCACCGTCAGGGCTCTGTGTCTGTTTCTGGGCGCAGGAGCCACACTGGCCCGTCTCAATATTGAAGAATTCTTCGGTCCCACATTTCCTTGGTGGGCCTGACAAAACAGGAACACCCCCGATAATTTGAGGCGTGGAGCCGTGAGGGAGGTGAAGCAAGCAGAGACAGAGGAGGAGGCAGGCCAAGTGAAGTGGCATTCTCAACTCAGGCTCCTTCTTCACCAAGTTAGGTGTTAGTTTCTCTCCCATATTTATTCCCTCTGGAGAAAGGAGTTGTGGACTGGATAAGCCTGGCTGGCCGGAGAGTGTATACAGACAAGGGCATCCATGGTAACCAAAGCCAGGTGTGGCTTCTTCCATACAAAAGGGAAGCGGCTGGGATTCCTGAGGTTGAATGTAAGAAGGGCCTCCTGGACCAGGCTGATGGCCCATCTAGTCTAGCATCCTGTTCTCACAGCAGCCAACCAGATGCCTGTGGGAAAACCACAGGCAGGACCCAACCACAAGAACACTCTCCTTTCCCGTGGCTTCCGACAACTGTTATTCAAAAGCGTTACTGCCTTCAATCACAAAGAAAGAACAAAGCCTTCATGGCTAGTAGCCTTCAATAGCCCTCTCCTTAATAAATTTGTCCAATCCTCTTTTAAAGCCATATAGGTTGGTGGACATCACTGCCTCCTGTGGGAGTTCCATAGATTAACTATGTGCTGTGTGAAGTACTTTTTGTCTGTACTGTACAACCAAACAGCAGAAAGAATATACCTTTGGATACTCCAAGGTCACTTCCAAACAACCTGTTTACTGAACATTCATCTTGAATGTTAGATAATGTCACCTATTTATTGAGTATTCCTTCTGGCTTATTTGCAGGCAGTTTAGAGGATATTGCAACAAAGGGTGAGTCCACACTTTTCAGTGCAATTCTGCATCACTTTTCTTACTGCATCCTTAATTTGCCGGTATGTGATTGTTTCCAGATTATCACTATTTTGGGGTGGGATCCAATGTTTTTAAGGCTATCTTAGGGTGCTTCCAGACAGCTATTTATTGTGTGTTGGGTGCTCCTCATGTAGCTGTTGTATCTTAGCAATCCCTGCAATCTAAAATTCCATACTACAAAAATGCCACTGCAAAATGGCATGAAAATGCCAGCCCACTATCCCCTCCCCCCAAATTTAATCTGGATTTACTCTTTCCCCAGAAATATAAAGTAAGTAAAAACAAACTAACAAACCACGTATTTCCATTTACTTACTTGCAATCTCTGTGATCTATTTGCACATTGTCTCCATCTGGAAACACTCTGGGGTGGGGAAAATAGCACTAAATAAAGAGGTGTACAATGCCTAAATTACGTTTCCCATTTCAAACATTGCCAATGGATTCCCCCCCCCCCAAAAAAAATGACTGTAATTTTTATTTTACTGTCTCTGTTAGCAGTTGTTCCAACTTGACAGAATGCTGGGAAAGGTCTGACAGAGCAATCCTGGTAACTCCATTGCATCTGTTGAACCAATGGCGATTTGGCACCTCTTCTCCTAGATCCTTTCTTGTTCAGTGGCCACTCCACCTGGTTATTATGTCAGTTAGGTCATGGTAGGGCAGAAATTAGATCAGGATATACTGGTAGATCTCTGGGTGATTCGCAGATTGGTCATGTTGGTTGATGCTGATGGGAGTTAGGGAGTCCAAACAAAATTGGTGGGTGGGTGTCATTTTGGCTAGTGTGGTGTAAGCACTCAGCTAGATGCAGCTCCTGTAGAAGGTACTAATGCCACCCCCAATTAGGTCATAATAAAACACACACCCCTTTTCTACAAAAGAGGAGATTCTTAAGAGAGTGAAAAGAAATCCAATTGTTCATATTTTAATGTGAACTTACCTGCCTCATATTTCCCAAACCAAAATGCACACCAAAACACAACTGTCCTTTCAAACACACATCTTTGAATTTTATGATGCAGTTCTCCCACAAAAAAAGGGAAAAGTATGTACGGTATATTATGGGGAAATGCATATACTAGCAGAGATAGCATACAAAGCAGCATTACACAAGAGGGAATTGCTTGGGAAAATGTGCAGATTAGGTAAAACCGTGTAAAGAAATGTGTGTATTGGGAGAAACAGACATGAAAATGCATACAAAATTTTTGTGTGATTAAAAAAAAAAAAAAGCAAACAGAGGACAGGAATGGTGTAAATTGAATTTAAGACTGAAGAAATGAAAGAGAGAAGTGAAGTTGACCTATTCCTCCTTCCCCAGCAAGCCAAAATAGATCTGGAATAAAATGCATGTGCTGGTTATGAAAAAGACAGAATTCAGTGTAGGGGTTTAAAAAAACCCACAAGTTTTATTTCACTTCCCCAATCCATTCATAACCAGGACTTGAAATGCTTTCAATACATGAGTTTAAAAACAGCAGTATTCCACAAAGGATACTAAATTGCACAATCGCAGTACAACATGTCAGTCAGTACAACAGTTGTACCCAACACATCAGAACATGGCAGCACTTTAAATACAAAACAAGAGAACTTGGGTGAATATATCTCATCATATATATATGTATCTATATATATGTCAAAAGTCAAATACAGAATTTTGAACTCCCAATGAATCTCAGAATTAGCTATATGGAAATGAGACACTGAAATGGTCCGTTTACATCGATATTATATGAGGCTTCTAGAGATTGCTTAACAAAAAGAGCCTACACAGCTAGATATTTCTAGTGTTGGATGAGAATCATCAGAGCTGTACTCGGGGTGGGAGCGGACAAGGCAAGAGACATACAAAGAGAGGAAAGACGCCCCCCTTGGAGTTTCACATTATTAACGAAACTTTAGCAGCAGGAAAAGGACAACAGGTCTGTTGTTGCTGAGATGTCCCTCTTTCAATGCCAGACAATAAAATCACTTCTCATTGGAAGTACAATGGAAAAAACCCTCAAGCCTTATCCCTTCACTTCCATAACAGCAAAAGCTGTTTTGACTCAGCTATCATCTCTAATCTGGCAGTCCATGCAGGAAATGCCCCAGCTTCATATACACAGCGTTCACACCAGTTACCCACCTTGGAACAAAGGTTGTGGTTCCAGTTTCCATTTCTCCCCTACATCCACAGAGTCCAAATTCAACAGCATAATGCGGGGGTGGGGTCTAAGATTCACAGTAGCACTTTTGTACAAGCGCCCTGAAGGATTGAAGTATAAATGCCACATGACGATATGCATAGAAAAAGATTAACATGGTTCTGCAGTCTTCACTAGGTGGACAGATGAACAGTGTTTCCCTCAATGTGGCCTTAACGTCCGTTTAGGAGTCAGGAAGAAACCCAGGCAAAAGCCACCGTAAAACACAGGCCGATTGTCCAAGAGAGTCGATTCTCACTTGTCCTATCTGCAAAGGGAGAAAATTACACTACTGCAGGGTTTTGCTCATTGGGAAGCAACCAAGGTGAAGCAACAGGCAGCCACACCTGGAATGTTATTGCTCAACATGCTTCTTGAATGCTTTCAACTGTATCCACCAATCAGAAGCCAGCTTGTGGTGGAAGAGCCACACCAACTTTTCACCATAGGCAAAATGGAGGAAAACTTTAACAAGCAAAAGGAGGAGGAGGAGGAGGAAACAGCCTCACCACAGGCATTGCGGACATTCAAGTCAGCAGAGGTCCTTCCAGATGCGGGAGTCTTTACTCACTGGATCAATACATTCAAAAACTAAGATGTGGCAGAATGAGTATACAGCAGACGTAGCCACTGAGGAGCCTTGCATGTGTTGGGCTGCAACTCCCATCATTCTGGACCACTTGCCATGGTGATGGCTGACGTGGATGAGAGCTGGAGTCCAACATTTGCAAAGCATCATGTTGGCTACCCATTATCAAGGTGCATTTTTAGCTTTGAAGCCTACATTTTTTTAAAAAAAAACCACAAAGTTACTTAGGATGATATGGCAAAAGGACCGAATGCAGTTGGAATGTGATAATGTGGTATTTGCTAAATTAAGGTCATGTATCACTTACTGGATGCCTTCAAATACCATTGCATTAGAGAAGGCCCATCTGAGATATAGCAAGTGCAGGGTCAAAGCATAGTCCATCCCATTAGGCACTGGCATCAAAAGCCTTGTTTGGAACCCAAAAATGTTGCTTGCATCATGGGCCGGATGGCAGCTGAAGAGGCAGGAGGTGGGCCACAGAAAATTTTGTCCTCTCTGCCAAGTGCCGCTTTCTTTTTTTCAATGCTGCAAGTTAGAAAACACCACAATCCAAAAGGGCAAAAAGAGTATATTTTCCTTTCTTGGGTATCAAATCTTTTAAATCTCATGTTTGGTAGGAAACATTACACTGCAGACATAATGAACTGCAGTGTTAAGAAAGGTACACACGGAGTGGTTATACAGCTACATTTAATATGCCATCCTAGAAGTTCTGTATCTGCCCTGCCCTTTAAGGTTCCATCAAGGGTAGCCGGCATGGAACTACAACTCCCATCAGCCCCTGGCAACATGGCCAGTGGTAGAAGATGATGAGTATTTAAGTCCAAAACATCAGGGTATGTCATGCTGGCTAACCTTGGCTTTGGGGATGGCATTAAAAAGGAACTACAGGCAGTTACTTTCACATGGCACAGAGTTGGCACACTCTGGTGGTTAGCAGTGAGAGTTCCTAGGCCAAACTGAGCCTCTTTCAGGGGGTACCACCTCCCCTCCCCAAATGTGAACTCTGCCTTGCCTCAGAAATTCCCAGAGTGGCTTGAAATGATGGGGTGGCCTCCAAGGGAGATCAAGTAACCCACCCAATAAGCTTTGTGTGGGGATTCAAACTCAGATGTCCCTGGTCTAAGGCCAACCCAGCCTTCCCCCAACATGAAGCCCTCCGGATATTGCTGGACTACAACAACCAACATCTCTGACCGTTAGCAATACTGTCTGGGGCTGATGGGAGTTGTAGTCCAACAAAAGCTTGACAGGGATAGACTTGAGAGTCTCAAAACCTGAAGTGGAGAGATGCCAAGGCTCAGATAAAATATTTAAACCTGACTCTGGAACACATTAAGGGTCTGAGAACACCCAGTCCCAAAAGGAATGCATGTCTGAGAACACCCAGTCCCAAAAGGACTGCATGTTATGCAAAAATATGACCAGCTAAGATGTGAGAATTAAATAAACATGTTATGCAAAAATATGACCAGCTAAAATGTGAGAATTAAATAAACATGTTATGCAAAAATATGACCAGCTAAAATGTGAGAATTAAATAAACATTGCTTTGCAACAGGAAAAAAGTGGCTCCCTGAGAGGCAGCATTAATCTTATTCTCTTGCAGGATGGCTTTTCTAGGGAGAAGTTCCTGACAAGTTCTCGAAAAGGTCCTGAGATGGGGATGAAGGGATTTTCCCTTCTTTGTCAAATCTAGAATGGCTGGTGCTTATCCTGGAAAGGTGCTCATGTGCCTTCAACAACAGCACAATGGGGAGAAATTTTGAGAAGCTGCTTCTCTCGTAACTTCAAGGTGTGACAAGCAGTTTTGCTTCAGAACCTGCTGCAGCAGGGGGTGGTTAGCCACTGGAAATGCGGCAGGGCAAGATCCCTGTATCGGTTTTCATTTATTCTTTGCAGAAACTCACTCTGGCTAATCAAAGCTCATTGATTCAATCACACCTACTAACCAGAATCAAGCAAATGGCAAAGAATGAAACAAAACCAAACACGAAAAAGAAAGAAATCTGTCCCAAAACCTGCTCCCTGGCACCCTCTCCTGGACTCAAAGGAAACTGCAGGGACTTGAAAACCAAATCTGCAGAAGTTTAGTTAGGTGACTTTTAGCTGCTGGAAAACACCGAAGCAATGCACTGCAATTTTCAGCAAGGCAACCGAGGATGCATTGACACCAGAAACGTAAACCAATACAGGACTGTAGTCCTGTAAAAGGTGGTAGAGGTCTCGTAACAGAAAAGACTAAACTCTCTCAATAGACCTACAACTCCCAAACTTCTTCAGTGTAAGCCAAAAGAGCAGAAATGGTTTACAAGTGAGTGATGTGGATGCATCCCAATAGCCATATAGAAACAACAGATTTACCAAGGAATAATAAGCTACTGTTAGCTCAGGATTGTTAGACTTCAGTGCACCAGTGCCCAAAGCTGGCTCTTGAAAATAGTGGAAGAGTGCATCCGATGGCATGTTCACACAACCTTGCCATGTCTGGGCTCATTCAACACCACAAACTGGTGTCAAAGTAACCTTGTGAACATTGGTCAAGTACTGAAAATGCAACTCATTGAATCCTCTGAACAATCGTTGCAACCCAGATATTTTGGTGAGATACAGAATCACAACCCCCAAGACCACATCACTGGCAAGAATCACACAAAGACATTGACTCATGGTTGGTGTTGTTTTAAAAGATGGCGAACAGGTTGTTGGAGTTCCATAAACACTGCAACAGCTGGCTCCGAGCAATCTTCTCAAAATCAGAAGCTGAAGAGGCTTGCTACCCTGAAGATTTACCACCTCTGCTGATAATCTTTCATTTAACAAAAACTTGAGCAGCTGGAGAGAGTCTGCATTGGCAGCTTCCTTCTGTGGGCTTCGCTTTGATCACACCTAGACTCCAAAAGGCTCACGCTCAAAGCCCAGCCAGATATGCTGCTGCGTACACCAGAATGTTCCCTCCCCTTGACCATTCAGGAAAGCAGATCTATCAGACCATTTGAAGTAGTGGGCTTTCAAATTGCTTTCCCTTGCCGGTCAAGCCTCGTGTATTATTTTAATCAGGGTCCAGTCCTTTCCTTTGGCCTCAGAACGCAACATTCAGTCGCTTTCAGATGGAGCAGCTACCAGGGAAACAGAAAACACCTAGCAAAACGTTACTTGCTGGATCAGAGCAACCTGCACCAAAAGATACTGCAGGAAAGAACTTGTAAAAACTGTAAAGGTGGTGTGGTGGGGATCTAGGCCTTCTGTTCCAGCCTAATACAGAATCACTGACCCAACCACCCATTTCCTGCCCATCTTCTTAAAAATAACCCCCATCAAGAAGATTTGCATCTGGCCTCCCGGCCTACAGAACTCCTGGTATTCACTTTAGGGGTCTTCTAGAGTAATAATTGGAACTAGGGTGTCTATCTTCCCTCCCACCCACCCCTTTCTGCATCCCTTGCACACGCACACACCTATCTTTTATGCTCTGTAAACTTTCGATGCTAAAAGAAAAAAATTCATCAGCAGAAAGCAGAGAGGGGAGAGGCTATTCCAAAGCTCAGCCTTCCTCCTTTACAAGCACGCTAGACTCTCCCGTGCTGACTTGCACTCTGCCTCATACCCAGAAGATTCCCCCAAGAGGTCTCCATTCAGTCACAATCCGGGTGAAAAAGGCATATGGGGAGGTGGCAGCGGAAGAGGGCAGGCAGCTTTGATTGCTGAGCTCCTACGTTTATAACGGGCTGCGCGATGCAGCTCTAGGTGGTTAGAAGACGATCATGCAGGTTTAACGCAGTGTCAGTTGGGTATAGTTTTTGCTTTTTTGAAAAGCCCATCTTTTATATTGCAGGTAGTCTCAGAGACAGGCTTTTTTCCACCCTTGCATCCCCACTGGCTTCTTCTCTATTAGTTCCTGAATGCAGGAGGCAGGTCACGGTGCTATTCTGCAGCCATTTGTTCGATGTGATCGCTAAGCAGCTTGTACTGCTCTGTAAGCAAGAGAAACAAATTATGCAATATACATACGCAGATAGAGACACGTACATGTATGCAAAATTAGCTCGGCATATAATCAAAATACAAAAGACAAACAACTATATGCAAACATCTTTTTGCAGAGCATCTCCAAGAAAGATACACTCTTCATTTTCCTTGTGGGTTTAAGACCCATGTGCAAGTGAAGCAAATAACAATGAGGGTGTGATTCAGGTGGCATTCACAAGGCAGCTTATTCTGTTTTTCCAGCATTTCCCTTATTTGTTCATTTCCGCATTATATTTTAGCTTTTACACAATGTAAAAGCTGCTTCTGGAAATGTAGCACAAATTTAGAGTTCATTTCTGTGTTATTTGCAAATTGATGTTTTGGGGTGATGTCTATAGCCTATTTCTGTTTTGCAAAGAATCCCTCACATTTTGCAGCCCTTCTAGGTCATCTTCTCCCGCAACCCCCACCCTACTCAAGTCTAAGGCAGAGCAAGTGGCCTGAACTTGGAGTTGCCCTCATTTTCTTCCACCACCACCCATTTGACCCCTGGGAGGTGACCCTTGCAGAAGGAACCCCACCAGCAATCTCACACCCATGGTCCTACCTTCATCCAGGTTGCCAATCACTGCCTGCTTCTTCAAGAAGTCGTTGCAGAGCTTCTTGTTCAGCCCAAAAGCCAACATGTTGTGAGTGAAAGTACTGCAGCAGGGAGAGGAAATGGGGTGGGGGAGAAAGGGGTATGGCCTTTTGTTAGGACATGTGCTTTGTCCACAGAAGGTCCCTGTTGCAATTCCTGGCAGCATCTCCAGTTACAAAGTTCAGGTCACAGAAGGTGATGGAAAAGACTCTCTCTCTGAGGCTCCTGCAGAGCTACGGCTGCCAATCAGAGACTTGATGGATAAATAGCCCCACTTTGTATGAAGCAGCTTCCTATGTGTCTGCTAAGTTTCCTTGGGCATAAACTGCCTATTCCTTTTAAAACTGATTAAATAATAATAATAATAACAACAACAATAATAATACTGAAGCCCCCTTCATGCACACTTTGCATGCAGGTAGGGCCATCACAAGCAAAAAAGCAGCTGTGGAGGTGTGCTGCCCCCCCCCCCCCGCAAAAGCTGTATGGCTCCTTCCCTGCCTCCTCCCCCCATCCTGATATCCACACATTAGGCTTGTGGTTTGTATTGCTGCTTCCTTGTTTGTATAATAGAGTTTTCCATGACTGCTAATTATGCTTTGAAGGTTTCTATAAATCCTGCCCTAGGACTCACAGGTGAAGAGGTTGCAAATTACTGGATATAAATAAATGTAACTGATACGTTATACAAAAATCTATCTCTCTCTCGTGCATCATGCAGTATAGATTTCTAAAGATCATCTATTGTGATCACCATTGTAATTTACATTTTTATTTTAAGCATAGTAAGTAGTAAAAGCTTTTATCATGTGTTGTTTGCTGCTCTGAACTCCTTTGGGAGGAAGGCAAACAAACAAACAAACAAACAAACAAACAAACAAACAAACAAACAGAAGCTCTTTTGCAGAAGCAGTCCAGTTTCATTCTTGCTTACCCCAACTGTCCAAAGGTGATATTCTCATTAAACCTCAGACTATCGTCTCGCTCCTCTTGGGTCATGTGACACCATTTCTCCCTGCAAACATATGGACAGATCCTGTAACCAGGAAAATGAACACACACACACACACACACACACACACACACACACACAACCTGCCAAAACCTTAGGGATTGATGGGAGCAGGGAAGGATGCAGGGAATGTCAGTAACACGCTCTTGACACACTCCCCCGTTCCATATTGGTTAGTGTGATGAAGTGAAGGAGTGAGCCATATGCCAGCTGTTGGTATGCCAGTTTTGTTATATGGGCCGCCTGTTGCCAACTTCAGATTATATATTAGAGCAGCTTTTATCACGGAAGCTGGGCCAAAGCTGGAATCATTCTGAAGTTTCCATTTTGCTTATGTGCTTACATTTCTGTTTCATTTAGGTTCTTCTTCTTCCAAAGGGTTGTATGTAACATCCATCTTACTCAGTGTAGATCCACTGAAATTAATGGACATGACTAACTTAATAAATTTCAATGGGTCTATTCTTGGTAGAATGTACTTGGATACAACCTAAAATCGCCAAATGCACGCCTTTCTCTTGGTCGTTAAATCTGTGACCATCATTGCCACTCTATATCCGACCTTAGAATCTACATTCAATTTGGTCAGTATCTCCAAAGGAGGTAGGCAAACATATAGCAAGGGATGTGAAGTGGGCGGGAGGCAGAAGGTAAACGTGTAAAACCTGAATGTTTTCCTAAAAGCCTGTTCGAACACCACCTGTATAACCTGACCAAAAAATTGAGCTATCATCTAAGTTTCGCACCCTTCTTATGGGTTACTGTTCATTACAGACTTACAAAGCAGACTACCCCAACCCCATTTCACAGAGGAGGCAACTGAGGCTTTGCAAAAGCATCAAAGGCCGCAAAACAGGAGCAGAGCTGGGACTGGATTCAGAAAAAGGTCACCCAGGCTTAAATTCCGCCACACTGGTATACCATTTTCAGACAAGAATAAAATTGTTTAGAGGCAGAGAAACATGGAACAGCCACACAACACAAAACTAAGGTGTTCTGAGCCAATTTCATTATATTCACAAAGCAAGCAATTTTGCTTAACATGGGTGCACTGTTTGGTGAACTTTCCAACAATGCAATAACAGAGGGTTCTTAACTTTACAATCAGCTGCTTCCCAGCCTCTACAATGTATAGTTATCAGTAATATGCTAAGGAAGTGCCGGAGATGTACCTAACGGCACATTTACAATGATCCATGGGTTTTTCTAACCCTTGAAACTCAGTAATATTCTAAGTCACTACTACTTCTGGTAGCAGGCAGTTCCAGAGTTCTGAGAAGATAAGGCCCTGAGTTTGTTTTATACATGCGAATGTCTCATTTTTAGGGTATGCCCAGTTCAGTAAAGGTACACAGATGTCTCCTTAATTTATTTGCTTTTATTGCATTTATATCTCACCCTTAAGGCTGCAAAGCAGTGACTGGCTGAAGGTCACCTAGCAGGCTTCATGACCGAGAGGGGATTTGAACCCTGGTCCCCCAGATCCTAGTCCAACACGCTAACCAACATGCCACACTGGCTCTCTTGCATGTCTCTCCCTTAATGAAAGTTTCCTGCTGGTTTGGTCCTAGTAGGTCTATTCATGCACACTTAAACCAACACAGCTCCTTAAGCTCTGGGTGCACAGCTCATGTGGGAGTTTCAAACATGGCAATCTCTCTTATGTAACTGCTGACCTTCCATTCTAGATTTCCACTTATGCATCCTTAAAAAGAATCAAGGGAATGCATGCCTCCAGGTTAACGCAAAAATTCTCACTGAACCCTATGGGGTAAGTATGCGTTAAAAGTGATCAAGAATGGGGGTGCTGAAAGTTGAGGTACATTTTCAGTAAAATCACATGGTAAACTTTTTGGGGGGTGAGGAGTGGCACTTCTTAACACCCCCAATCAAAATATAAAAATAAAAAGTGGTCTGGAGAAAACTAGTCCATCAAGCCTATTCTGGTCTAGAATCGCATTCTAAATGCAGGGATTCTTTTTGAGCAGGGAAGTGTTAGAAAACACCATCTCCCCCACCTGACAAGGGCACAATATAAGGAGGTTGATTTCACCACAGATCAGCCCTCAGATGCTTGTCCTTTTAGGGAAAATAGGATGTTGGCTGAAGCCGACCATATGTCAAGAGGAGGAAAAGGGGAGGCAGGGAAATACAGGAAGAAGGAAGTCAATGGGAGGAGGAGAAGCAGCAGCAGCAAATAAAAGAAAAACAAGAGAAATTAAAAATGTGGAGTCATGCTGGATATGAAGACAGAGTGGCAGAGGGATTTCTTGGCAGGCAATTCAAGAGTGTATCCCTGAATCAATCCTCACAGGAAACAGATGTGCCAAGGGTCAAGGCTGAGGCAAGGCAAATGCAGAGGACATTCTTTGGCTTAGCCAAGGGCCAAGGCAAGTCTCCTAGCTGGTCATCCATTCACAGGGGTCAAGGAGTATCAGCTGACTCACAGGGGCCTTTCAGTGCACAGTGGCTTCTTTGGTTGCTCCCTCACCTTGCAATTCCCCAGATCATTTGCCAGAGCGAGGCAGAGGTGCACAGGAGAAATCCCTGCCTGTCATCTCTCAGGCCAACAGTTCAAGGACCACTTTCAGATGACCCATTGACTGAGCATTTGTCCTAATTTGCTTGCAGGGCGTTTACATGTCTTCCTTTTAATCGTTTTTTTAAAGGGTCTAAGGACCCTTTGGCCTTCCAAATGTTTCTGAACTCCAACTAGCCACTCTTGCCGGGACTGATGGGAGTCGTTCAGCAACATCTGGAGGGCTGTAGGTTCCTCACACCTGTGCTAGGGAGGCAGAGCACTTTAATCCACTTTAATTGCACAAACCTACATTTCCTGAATGCTCTTGAATCCTTTCCCCAAAATAGGGACAGCCTGGAGGCACCCAAGAGGTCCGCATCAAGAACAAATCCGGTGGCGCTGTCCTCTGAGACCATGGCAAGTGTGCATATGCACAGTGACCATTTACCATTTGGAACAGCTGCTCCAGATGCATGTAAAGCAAACCACCACCCCCATCTCAATCAAGCTCCGCACAAAAAACCACCAACTGGTATGGTATGAAACGGGCAAAATTAAGCACGACAATAACAAATGAGAGAGGGGCAGAAACAACACAGAAAGCAGGTACTTAAATCCAGATGGCCAAAGAGGAATGGACAGGGAAGGAAAGAGAAGAGATTCTCAAGCAGCAGCAGCAGCAGCATTCCACAGAGGCATCGAAAGCTAGTAGAACGTTTACATCTAGAACTCCTCAGAGACTGGAAGGGGCCCCTGTGTCCAAAAACTTACCACAGCTGCTGACACAGAAAATGGCGAGAGAAAAACAGACTCACTTAAGCAGTTCACCGTGCCCAGAGGCTTTTCTCAAGCTGCTTTATACGGCATTGATACAGAAGCTGTGCATCATAATCAAGCAATGTATAAGATATTGGCAGTATGGCAAACTCTGGCTGGGAGACAGAACGTAGACTGATTTTTTTTATTTTTAAAGAGACTCAAAAAGTGCTTTGTGGTAGGCTCCCACTGCTTCTAAATTGGTTCAGCATCCATATTAGATTTTGTCCTGCTGTTGCAGGCCCTGAAACGAACAAGGAACACTCCTTTCAAAACCGCTTTGATGTGCTTAGAGATATACCTTGGAAAGCAGGCTTTCCCCAACCTGTGGCCCTCCAGATGTGTCTGAACTATAACTCCCAGCAAGCCCAGCAGGGATGGTCAATGGTGAAGGAGGATGAAAGCAATAGTCCAACAATATCTTGGAAGGCACCAGGTTGGGGAAGGGTACACTAGTGGGATTTGCAGCGCTGGGCCGAATACTGTGCAACCACGGTGGCAAGTTTTGGACCCAAAATGAGCCTTTGGCATAAAAAGGTAAGAAAGTAAATGCGGACAGACACACCTCGTTTCCTCTTCCTCTCCAGCATTCCCTCTGGAGTGGCAGCAGAAAGGGTCAACAGAAGGTTACATGTTAAGATCATGCAAGAAGTATGGATGGAGAGAGAGAGGAAGTGTGAAAGAATTGACCAGAAAAAGAAAAGAAAAGATTAAAGACGTCAAGAAAGAGAAAGAGAGAAATTAGTTGTTTTCAACCTCCCCAACCCAACAAAGGAACATGAGAGCAGGAAGGAGGGAAAGGGAGAACTCTGCCCTTTCCTTAAGCTCTTGCCTGGCAGACTCCCCCTTGGATGTTGTTATCAAACTGCATTTGCTGGGTGGTTTCTGCTTCTCTAAAACCCTGGGGATGACTTCCAAGGGCCGGGGAAGAAAAGCTTCCTCCCTACAGAATATAAACCCAGTCCTGCATCAAATTAGCAGAACTTAAAAAGCTCCATTGGCCTGCTTGACAAGTGGGAGAACAGCAGAAAAATAAACCATTTGCGTACAAAAAAAGGCAGTCCTTTTCAGCACTGTGGCCTATTCTCCTCCACCCCTCGTGTCCTCCACTTCCTTTCTCCTGTGAAGAAAAAAAAAAAGAAAGAAGAAGCTGCAAAGTCCTACCTAGTGGTGGGAGACCGTTTCCGCCTCTCACAGTGAACCGCGTCGAAGAAAGCCGCATTCCAAAACCTCAGAGTATGCCTAGGGAACAGGGGAGGAAATGATGTGTGCATGTGTGTGTTGAGCCTGTATCAACTGCAGGGTATGATTTTGTGAATGTGGCTAGGAAGTGGGAAGGAATGGGGTGGTTTCTGCCAGAGAGGGCTGTGGCTGGGCCTGCTAGATGGCTCCCCTGCTTCAATGCCCTGCTCAGGAGTGCAGCTGGTTTAGGATAATAAGGTTATACCAGTGGTGGCTGGTGCTCACTGAGACAGGTGAGGCAGAAGGCAGGGAGGCCAACAGTAGGTGGCGCCAGAGCCAGTGAAAGGCAGAGACAACTCATTCTAGTTTAGGCCCTATCCTCCTCCTCCCTGCTGGGTTCTACAACTCCTAGGGGTTGAGGTCCCTTTGCCCCCCATAAAATATGAGAGGATGCTACCCCACCCCAAAATTCATGGGCATTGCTAGTCAAATGGTGTGCATGCACCGCATCTTGTGATTATGTGGGGCGGGGCTTACCCAATATTTTATTCAAGTTGGCACCCCTGACTGAGACTAACAAATGGGGGAGCTGACAGGCTGCACCAGGTTGGCTGTAAGTAAGAAGGCAGGCAGATGGGGGTTGGCTGAGGACAGGCTGAGGTTGGTGGGGCAGCGCCCCAGTTATCCTATTGAACCAGCCTCCACTTGCTCTTACCAGATGGGCTGTTGCTTCAAGTGCATGTACAGGTAGATCTTCTCTCCTGTTTTTTCTTCCTCCTCCTCAGGACTGTACAGAGAAACTGCAAAGGGGAGACATTTGATATATATATTTTTTTGGGGGGGGGATTTGTGCATACACATATACACAATCTTCAGATAAAGACCAGACAGTGCCTTAGATTCCTGCCAGGTACCCCAGCTCTCCAGAAGCTGAAACACCTGTTTTCTATGAGCATTAGAAACAGATTTTTAAACCACAACAGCATAGAGATATTATTATTATTGCTGCTTACCTGATTTGTGGATTCTCTCTCTTGGTTTGCCTTCATCATCCCTAGAAGCAAACACACAGGTACTATTCGGTTAAACGTAACATCATTTTGGGAGGGGAGTTTGGAAGCACTGCAAGTAGTTTGTTCTATGAATTGCTTAGAAGTATAGTCTCACTACTACACAGATGAAGACGAGTTAGCCTGCTATGAAGCCTTGCCCTAAAAGGGGGTGGGGTGGGTGACTTTAAATCAACCAGTTAATTAATAAAGCTGGAAAGGGCCGTAGCTCAGTGGCAGAGCATCTGCTCTGCGTGCACAAGGTCCCAGGTTCAATCCCCAGCCTCTCCAGGTAGGGCTAGGGGAGACACACAAACGCTGCAGTCTAAAATCCTGGACAGCCACTGCCAATCCGGCACAAGCCAGCTTCCTATGTTCCTGGGACCACCAAGACCGATAACGGCATATAAACAAGATTATCTTGAGTAGAGCAGAGACGGTGGTGCCCGGGGTTCTTAAGCCAGGTCTGGCGTTGTGCCTCCACTAAAGGCGCTGTGGATGCTCTCAACACAGTGCAGGGGAAATCCGGCTGCCCCTAGAACTGGACTCACTCAGCTTTCTTGGGCCCGGGCCCCTTTAGCTTGCTTTCAAAGCTCCCAAAGAAGCCTTTCACGTTCTCCGTCTTCGCCGACGTGTTCTTCAGGAGCCGCTCCGCAATGTCCTTCTTCTCGGCCAGCCAGCTGTTTGCGGACTTCAGGTAGGAGTCAATGCTGCCGGTGGGCTTCTCCTTGGACTCGATGGGCAGCGCTTGGGGCTTACCTATCAAAATGCAACCAGGGAGCAGGAAAGAGAAACAGAGGGAGTAAGGCAGGAGACCTGAGGCCTGTGGGTCGAATGTGGCCCTCCAGCCCTCTTGATCTGGCCCTCAGAACTCACTGCTCCCGGTCCCTGCTCCGTGCTCTCCTCAAGAGCATTTTCCTGACTGGAATGTGTTCTTGAATTGTAACAATGCCCATTGCTTGCTCAGATGGAGGACACGTGTGTGGGTTTATGCAGAAACCTCAGACTTTTCAATGCAGCAAGGTAAGAATCATACCTGATGCTCCACCCACTTTAGCCTCTGGCCCCACGCACCTCTGGCTTAAGGCCCCCTTAAGGTTGCTCATAAGTGAATGTGGCCCTTGAGCTAAAAAAAGTGGTCCCCACCCCTGACTTAAAGGAGCACCACTCCTCCTAAAGATCAATGCTCAAGAGAGACTGGTTTGTTCTCTTTCCCCCACCCTAAGTTTTTGCTTTTTAACTAAAAAGCAATATACTAGCCCTCAGTGATTAGTGTCACACTTAAAAATGGATGTCGAAAACCAGGGCACATGGTTGGTAACATGGAAGCAACCAACAAGAAGCTAAAAATCATTATGCTTCCTGGCTCTCATCTATTTCTGAAACCTCATAGTAAGCCTGCAACTTATGCAGGCGTTACGTTCTGGGGATTGTGCCCAAAGCCAAAACTGTGTGTAGTTAAAACACATTGGGTGCAATGGCGGGTCAAATGTAAAGGATTAGTTCACTATTCTGAGGTTCTCATAAACGACTCCCAGGATGCTATTCCTATAGCGATGCTTCTTGCAAGGTACTCTTGCTCCTTTGCTGAAGACGAACAAATTGCCCCAGCACATTTTCTCACTCCACACAGAAATTTCAGCAAGAAGGAACTGCCCCTTACCAATATAGTAATAAGTAAAGCACATGGTCATCAGGTTCTTAGCAGGGCTGAAATCATCCATCTGGTAACACCTGAAAAAAAGGAAAGAATAAAGTTGCTGAAATATGAAGAAGAAACAGAGCAACACTCGGTGGTGATTAGTGTCCATGGGACTGAATGCAGGGAGTCCAACTGTGGGCAGAGACAACTAATTCCAGTTTCCCCCCATTCTCTTCCGTGCTGCATTCTACAAGGGCAACACTGAGACTAAGGAGGAGGAAGCAGACTGCCAGGGCCACCCCCTGGATATATTGTAAACAGGAAGGCCGGCCAGTGGATGCTGGTTGAGGGCAGACGGAATTCAGTGGGGCAGTGTCCATTCTCCCTAATATTTATTCAATTCATTTATATTCCAAGGATCTCAAGGTGGTGTACATAGACCAGCCTTCGCTGCCAGAACTGAAGAACGGCCAGGTGGGTCTATACATGGCTTTTACGGAGAGCTGCATGGATCACAGCCATGTGCAAGTCATCTCCAGTTGCCCAAGTGGTGCAGTGGTTAGAGCAACCATCGCTACCATGATGCCCTCCAGATGTTTTGAGCTACGCCTCTCATCAGCCCCACCCAACTGTCCAAGGTGGCCTGCAGGGAGAGGTGGAGGAAGGAAGAATTCCACTCGCCAGCTGGATTCAGTTCCCCACCCCCTGCTGTAAAGGCAGAAGACCCTGTAGCCTCCATGCCGACACCTGCTGTTACTCACTCAAAGAGGACCACAGCAAAGGACTGCACCAGTCGATAGAAAGTCTGCTCCGAGACACACTTGGAATTGCAGCGCTGTGAGGAAACAGGGAAAGTCAAGAGTGTTAAGATTGGATACAGATGTACCTAGAAACAGATGTAGGGCTGCCGTTCTACTTTTTTTTGGCTGCGGAGGAAACAGCTCTGCTCCTCTGTTGTTGCACATACAGCCTCTGGATCAACAACCGTCTCCAGCCTAGGCTTTAAGGCAGGCCATCTGCTTTGCTTTCCATTTTTCTCCCCTCTGAGTGCTTGTCATGTTTCGAAAGCTGCTCTCAGAAGGTGGCTTTGCAATTAAGACAAGAGCTGGCCAATCAGCCTGGTGGCCCAGCCTTGCTCTGAGAAGGGAGGAGGTAGCTTTGCCACTGATATAAGGTCTAGCCAATCAGGAAGTTGTGCAAATCCAGCTTCTGTTTGACGTGGAAAAAGTTTCACCCTATGCAGGGTTTTTAAAATGATGGTATGCAGAGGTGAGCAGATGAGACTCTTCCATGTAGGAATACAGCAATGCAATAAAGCAAAAGGTGACTCTGAAATGGCCTGGAATGCCCTGTACGAATATTCCACTAGGAATAGGGTCCACTATTTGATTGTGTGAACAGGTGTCAAGAGGCACACGCAAGCACAAAAAGCAAAGGGCCTCAAGAGTGCACAATCCACACCAGCCAGAGTTGCGTCCTGAACGACTCCTTACCTGAGCGCTCACGTATCTGGCAAACCATTCCCTGCCTTTTGCATTCTCCCCACTGCAGAGTTCTCCAAACTTGGCTTTCTCCTCTTGGTCAAATTCCTCTCTGGAATCACAAAGATACAAAACAAAACAAGTTGGCACTAAGTGTGATACAGAGGGCTGAGACTATAAGCTGGCAAGTCCCCAAAGCAAATCTCACTGCAGGCAAGAATTGTCAGGGGCCCTGGGCAAATCCCTGCCTGCTCTCAAGTGTCACCACTCTGCAATGTGGTAATAATAGTAATAAGCACAAAAACTAGGTGTTGTACTATAAGCCTTGACCAATGAGCTTGCTTTCTAATTTAGGAGCTTAGTGTCATTACTAGCCTACCTTGCAAGGCTGTCACAAGGAATACAGGAATATTTCATTTTTCACTTTCATTTCACTTTCATTTAAAAGTGAAATAGTTTCTGCACCTTCAAATACATAAGTAGCCACCTTCTACTGAGTCAGGCGATTGATCCCTCTAGCTCAGATCTGTCGACACTGACTGGCAGCAGTGGCATTCCCAGTCCTACCTGGAGATGCTAGGGATTGAAGCAGGGATGCTGTGTATGCAAAAAATATGCTTAGGTGTGCCTCACAATGATGGCAGATCAACATGCACAAGAGAAAGGACCGTTGGATTCTTTGTGCTTGTAAATCTGCCATTGTGCCTCACTCTTGATTGGGTTTGCGGCTGCCTATGAAATCCATCCTTCACACAAATTTTATCTGATTTTGTATGTGCAGAGCATCACTGCCCTCCTTTTTTTTTTGTTGTTGTTGCCCCGTTTGCTCTTTTTCTTCTGGTTTCTCCTTTATGTTACGACTTGCAACAAAACTGGGAGAAATGCAGCGGTTTCCTGTTGAATTGTGGTTTTGCCTTCAGCCACCAGGTGGCACTAAACTCGTTTCGAACAATGTACTAAATGGAGGGGGAGGCAGAACTTTAGAGGAGGAAGAAAAAAGGACGTAATGAAAAGTGTTGGGGTAGGGGAAATAAATTCAAGTAAACTGCTTCAGCTCTTACCAGTCCGAAAGTGCACCAATATTCTTTATCAGGAGTCAACGGGGAATTAACACATGTTAATAAATCATCCTTTTGAGCAGGACTAGGGGACCCCTCAAAGTCTCCCCAGGCCACACCACTTCTCCCCTCACCGGCTCTGCTTTGCACCTTCCCTGAGTGTTTTTGCCAGGCTGGATTTTGTCCGTGAACTCTGCTGATGCCTCTTGCTTCCATGGATGGCGGGTAGGGAGGGGTGCATGAATTTGTGCAGAGACTAACCTAGTACACAATCCCCCTGCCCACTTTTACCCTCCACTCACGCCTGCCCCTGGCATGCAGCCCCCAGCAGATTGCCCAGAAGGGAATATGACCCTTGGGTTGAAAAGGGTTATGCGCCCTCCCCAAGCTTACTTATTTATTTTTATTAAATGTGTACCAAGACTAACAAAGAATTTGAGGCTTTTGATTTCGAGCATGGCCATTCTTCTCTTTTTGCATGCAGGGGGCAGGCCACCTCGCCAAGCGGCAACATTCAACTGTGAACGGAGATTATGCAAGCTGCCAGTGTCAGCTTTGCACAAGAACATTCCTTCTGGGGTAGGATCCCCAAACTGGCCACGCAGCAGAGCAGGGGGGGAGCAAACGGAAAGGCACTTGCCCCCAGTGTTGACATTCAAATCGTTTTAATTTGGGCCAGGGTGAGTCACGGCAGATTTGCTAAATTGCTTAAATTAAGTGGAATTGTTTAAAAGCACACACACACACACACACACACACACACACAGAGAGAGTCAACATCAGCTGCAGCAGCTGAAGCCTCCACTCTGCATCTGGGTGATGCAGCCCCAAAGTCCCCAGGCAGCAATTGTTAAGTCGAGAGAGAAGCATGACTCAGTGGGAGAGATGTGTCACAGCCAGCCAACATTTCTTTTCAACGGGAACACAGAGCGGGGAAGGGGGCTTGCTGCACCCGGGGGGGGGGGAGGAGTGAAGGATCCAGCACCAAGCTGTCTCTCCCCCCCCCCCTCTTTCTGCAAAGCGAATGCAAGGAAATAAATTCAGGTTCCTGGCCTCACTACCAAACATTTGCCCACCAGCACCCTCTGGGGTGCATTGGATTGAACCCTGAGTTAGTCCTACACAGAGGAGAGCCATTAAAAAATAAGAGACACAACTAACATTGATTGATTAATTTACGTAGGTCTACTCTGACTGGATAGAATACTGGCTGTTTATTTCCATCTTACAAGTTGGAAACTGGTGCCATCGTAGAAAAACCTGGTACTTTAGCCAGCAAATGAAGTCTTTGAGGGGGTGAATCTGGGGAAATGGGGAATGGTTGCCTAGATTACATTCAAGGTTGCTCTGGATTGGTCTGAGCAACGTAAAGCCAGCTCAAAGAAGCTCTACGGCAGCCTTCCCCAACATGGTGCCTCTTGAGATGTTTTGGACTGCAATTCCCAGCATCCCTGAACAATGGTCACGCTGGCTGGGGCTGATGGGAGTTGCAGTGTAAAAAAAGAACTGGGGACCTCCTGCAGGGAGAGAGTTGGCCGACGATCCCACAATCCCAGCATGCACTTGCTCACAGCATCCTGCTGCTCAAACACTCACCCTCCCGTGAAGATCTTCTCTACGTACTGCCTGATGAACTCCCGCTGCTCTGCTGTCACTTCGTCCTTGGCGGACTCTGTGCTCTGGTTAGATGAGTAGGACTCCGAGGAGGAGCGGCGGTGGTTGTTCCAACTGTGATGGGTGGGCGAGTCCGTCGTGTCGTTCTCGCTGTCGGCAGATTCCGTCGCGTCGCTCTCTTCCGCCACTGTGGCCGTGTCGCCCGCCAGGTGATCCAGCAGCCCGTTGCCATTGGTGGAGGGAGGAGCGGCAGGGACGGATTCGGAGGTGTCGGTGGTGGAAGGTTCGGAGTCAAAGTCAATGAGGTTCCCCACAGGGACATCCATGGCCTCCATGGCTCAAGGGGCCTAAGGGTGTGGATCGGGTGCGGAGGGTGTGACTCAATTTCCCTATCAGGGAAATGTGAAGGCCATTGGGAGATGAGCAGGAAAATACGGAGCCTGTGATTGGTCCACTTCCAACCAAAGCCTACTCCTTATCCTAGGCTCTTTCAAGGCATCTGAAAAAAAGCAAACACAGAGCAACTCATTATCAATAATTATTAAACTCTGCTTATCAACAATAATCTCAGCAGCAAGAGCCACGCGTTGTAATTCCACAACAAAATTTGGCAACCCCTGCCACGTATTTTGACTTACTATTCCAGACAAGGACTTCCAAGGCGGCCCAGGGAAAGAATGAATAGGGCATTTGGCCACTTGGTGAACACTTAAATTAAGAGTTAAGTTTAATGCAGATTGAAACTTCCCTCCCAGGGCTGGCAAATGTCATTTGTTTAATGCAATTAAGTATGGAGACAGAACAAACTTTTATGGAGTGCTTAGGAGCAAAGCAGCCTCTTTAAAACAGTCTCTCTTGATTAGAATCCATTGAACCACTTATAGGCATATGCTTTTTAAAAAAGGGGGGAAGATGACTGCAATTATACAGAAATACTTTTTTGGTTTTTGTTTCTGAAGGCACGCATCCAAGATTGCGTTGCACTTACTAAAACAGCATTTCCCCGCATAAGCTGCAGTCTGAACTTGCAAAAGCTTTCCCATCTCCCCAGACCCAATAGTCTTGATCAATAGGCTCCCGAGTAGATCCCATTTCCCAAACCATGTAAAATTTTGCAGGCTTTAAAGTCCTGCACATGCTTTCCTTTGTCAAAAATTCTGAAGGCCAAGCTTTGCAGCAATTCAAGGCCTGAGACCATTTTTGCGTGGAGCTCTGCGTGATTAAAAATGCAGAGGTTCTGAGTCAAGGTCAAAACACTAGAGTTCGGGTGGTCATCCTCTGGCCCAAGGCTCAGCAGGGTTTACAACTTAGCCCACGAGTCCTTTTTCTTAAAACCATGCCCACCTCTGAATCAGCTGATGCCACTCCAATGGGCATGTGGGTGGCATTCAATTCTGCACTGGCTCTGTGCAACAGTTCCCTATAGCAGGTTAAATCCCCCCATTAGCTAATGTTTGAGGTTTGTGTGATTTTAAGGTTAATTCCTGCTCAGTTTTGCAGGATTCAGAGCAAATTCCTTCCTGACGAGGAAGGGCTTTTGCAAGCTTAAAAAAGGGCTTTTCCTCTGTTTCAGCAAGCACTCTAGGACTCAAATTGCCAAATCACCTGACGCCCTTGTGACACCAGGTGAATGACATGTGAGCAACCCCACCCTCCTGTCAAATTTGGCCCATGAGGCCCATCCTAATAAGGAACTGCTCCACGGAGCCAAAATGCCCCCCATCCCAACACCACTACCTCATGCTGGCTCTATAGAGACACATAAATAAAATGCTGCCATATTATTTTCATCAAATGACTAGAAGTTGCAAAAATGAAACTGTCTTACTTCATAAATCCCCTTTCAAGGTGTCCTTCACAGCTGCTCCCCCTCCTCCCCTTGCAAACTGCACTTAGTTAATTAGGGTGCAACTGAATCAGTTCAGTGCTTATAAGAATGTTTAAAGAATGAGTCTGCAAGACTGCAGGAGAAGTGCCAAGTTTAGTTTCAGGATCTATGAAAGACAAAGTTCTGCTCTGGATGCATCAAATTGTAGCACAGTGAGCCTTCTGTCTTTCGGCACTCAGGCCAGATAGCCGAGAGGGGTTCTTGGTGGCTCCTCCAGCAGATTGGCCAGACCTTAAGCATCAACACCTTGAGCTAAGCAAAGAGTTAACAGGTTGGACTGTACTTTAGATGGAATCAACTTTATTCCTATGCTAAGGGGGGGCAGGGGAGAGAGACAGAGACAGAGACAGAGACAGAGACAGAGACAGAGAGAGAGAGAGAGAGAGAGAGAGAGAGAGAGTCCTTTTACTTGTTACTTGGACCTTGTTATGCTTGGAACAAACACTGCCAAAAAAAATAATAAAATACTGCAGGAGCTGTCCAGAGTGCTGTTAAGGCTCTCCACTTCTCCAATTATTTTAATATACTCTGGCTTTCCACTCTTGTGCCAAGGATCTCAGAGCAGATGTGGGGAACTAGGTGGAGAACAAACAGACGAGTGTGTAAATTAGTGGGGGGGGAGTGTTGAAATCTCTGGCTTTTGCATAGCAAGATTGTAGCCTATTTTAGTTTATTTTTACATTTAGATCCCACCTTTGCTCCAAGGAGCTCAAGGCAGCATACATGGTTCTCCTCCATCTCCATTTCATCCTATCAACAACCCTGTGAGGTAGGTTAGGCCAAGAGACTGATTGGCCCAAGGCACATTTCACTGCTGAGTGGGGATCTGAGCCCTGGTCACCCAGTTCCTAGTCCAACACACTAACCACTACACCGCGCTGGCCTTCTGTACCGAGGTGAGTGCCATGCCCATTGCTCTGCTCATTTATACCTCAGGGCCCTGCCCACCCCTGGCATATGTCCCCACTCCCCCAAAAGGAAGCCCCCAAGGGAATGTGTCCCTCTCCATCCCTGTTCTATTGGCTCAGCAGCAATCCTGGCCCACATCCATTGCAAAACCAACCCCCTGTATGCCTGCTCTCCCAAACTGCATCACCTGATCCCAAAACTTCAAACAACACTGAGATGTTTCCACATTCTTCCAACAAATTGCCTTGGTCCAGTATATCTGAAGGAGCGTCTCCACCCCCATCGTTCTACCCAGACACTGAGGTCCAGCACCGAGGGTCTTCTGGCGGTTCCCTCACTGCGAGAAGCCAAGTTACAGGGAACCAGGAACAGCCTTTTCGGTAGTGGCGCCTTCCCTTTGGAACACCCTCCCACCAGATGTCAAAGAGAACAACAACTTTTAATGTTTGATGTATTATAGTATTTTAATATTCTTTTGGAAGCCGCCCAGAGTGGCTGGGGAAGCCCAGCCAGATGGGCGGGGTATAAATAATAAATTATTATTATTATTATTATTATTATTATTATTATTATTATTAATTTCACAAAATTTATATGCTGCTTGACTGTTAACCCCCCCAAAAAATAAAACCTCAAATTAGATTACAAAAAGAATAAAAGAAAGAAATTATAAGTAAAAACAAATTAAAAACAACTATTTTAAACATGCAAAAGTAATTAAAACAAACAATAAGCTAAGAACTTGATTAAAACACATGTAAACATCTGACATATCTGGACAGACTTGCCTAAATGCAGGCACTGAAAAGGGCATAGTGAAGATGCCTGCCTGGTATCAATAGGCAGGGAGTTCCAAAGTGTAGGTGCAGCCACATTAAAACATTGGGGTTTTTTAACAAATGAGGAACAAGTATTATGTGGCACTGCGCTAGTTCTGCAGATCAAAGAGGTTCAGGTGAGAATATCTATGGGGTTAGATGACCTGGCAGGCGAGTCTTAAAATGTACCTTACACCTAAGGTAGCAAAGCAATTTACAACAAAATCCAGAGTCACACATTTCTTCATGACAGCAACAGCAGCTTTCCAAAATGGTAACCGGAAGACAGCTTTGAGCAGCTGAAATAATTAAAACAGGTGGCCCCCTCCGTAATCAGCTAATTGACTGCATATCTGGGGTTAAGGACACAGAGCCCAACCAAGACTGACACCGAATTAGCCCAGGTAGTTAAGGAAAATACCAGCTGAATCTCTGGATGTTTTCCAGGAAAGGGCAGAAGCTGGAGTCACCCCCATTAGTAGTACACCTGATCAATGCCTGCAAGGAAGCTGCATCTTCTTAACAGAGCAATGAGAACCTGCCACCCACGGCAGAGTTTCTTAACATCAAACACAATGTGAAAAAACCGCAATGGCTCCAACCACTACCAGTTTCTGTACTAAGGATTTGAAAACTTGCTGACCCAGCTGCAGGGTTCCAGAGTGATCAGCCATGGCATTAAGCGTGGCGCCAAACCAGCAGAAACACAATCTTTATGGAGACGTCAAGGGATTAGTAAAGGAATTCAATAAACCTTTTTAAACCATGACTTAAAACACAAAAATTCCTCCTCTCAAGTCTAAATTCTGCAATTCAAATTAACAAGCAAGCATGTTTTGCATAATTTATTTTGCAGATCATTAGGCCGTGGCAGCTGCCTCCTTCCTCCCCCTTGCAAGATTCCAGCAAATTTTGCTCAACACTGGATTCTGCAGCCTTGAGAACTAAATACTTGATTTGTTTTTGTGCACGGGGTGTTAAAATAAAGGCTGTACATCTATTAAAGATGAATTCAGGGGTCCAGTTCAGAATCCCATTTTTCACAGGGTAACCCCAAAATGAATGCAGCTTTGTCAATGTCCCATCACAGCCTCACCAGTTTGCCAAAAATATGCATGTCAGAGGGAAAGGGATATGCTAGAACCTTTCCTCCTACGTGCGATCCTGCCTGCAGTCTGAAGTCGCATGGTCCAAACCATTCATATATTGCCTGTGAGACCCAAAAGCTGCACCACGATTGCTTACAGTCTGCCTCACTTCTTCTCCCCTCTACAGTAAAACCAGTAAAAGTATAAGTATAAGAAGAGCCTACTGGATCAGGCCAATGGGCCCATCTGGTCCAGCATCCTGATCTCATAATGGCCAACCAGTATGTAGGCACTAAATTTTCCTTGTAAATTTTGGACTTCTACCATAGTCACTCCCCTGGTCGCCTGTAGCGAGTCAAAACTGCTTGTAGATGAGGAAGCTTTACAGAAATGGGTGGTCCTTGTTTTACTTAGCCCCACAATGACTCACATAGGCATGCATGAGAAGGCAGGCCAGTTACTCTTAGTATTTAAGTACAGTTGCCTTCCCTACCCTGCAGTGCTGGCGGGTTGATGGGAGTTGTACCTCAAAACCCCTGGAGGGTGCCAGATTGGAAAGGCTGCTTCTTTTTTGGGTAGAATGTTTCATAATAAAATGACACTGTTCAACAAACCCTGTAGGGTGTTACATGCATACACCTGTTTCATATGAGAAAGAAAACAAAGCGGGGACACTGTCAAATAACTAAATAATTGAATGCACGTTTAAAGCTTTAACTGTCTGTGACATAGCCTCTCCCTGTGTGAGCGGCTGGAGGCCTGACATAGCATAGCACCTGTTTATATAGAAAATGATTGTGTTCAGTTTGGCCTGTAACAACCATTCTGTGTTGCATTAGATTCTTGGAAAGACCCACATCCCAAACTTTGCTGGTCCCATAAGGGGCAGAACAAGATTTGAGTTCAGTGAATGACCAATATTAGAGATAACACCAAAAAGCCTTTTCCAAAACCCAGTAATCCAACCTGCAGAGCTGGCTGGGGCTGACGGAAGTTCTAGTTCAGAACTCCTGGAGAGTCCAAGGTTGGGTTCTTTAGAGGCTCCCCATCTCAGTCCCTGGCTTGGGCAGTGACTTTTGTCTCGATCCTCCTGGCTGCAGGATTTTTCCTCTCTCTCTTTCTCCACTTCCCAGCTTTGTTAAACCTTGAGTTACAGAAGACCCTGCTGCAAGGAGGGAAGGTGACAGGGCAGAAAAGAGTGAGATGGGACTCTGTATCACAAGCACAACAGCTGCAATTTAAGCTGCCTCTCTTCCTTCACAAGCTGTATTTAAATGGGTCTTTTCTCCCATCCTCTTTCCCCAAGATGGCAACTTCAAAAAGAATGCCAGGCATCCTAAGCAGAACGAATGGCCTCCGTTCAGCTCAGGCTGTGTGCGCAATGTGCATAATTATGCTGTCAAAAAACCCGGAAGCACATTTGTGCCCTACATGGCAATAACAAGGGAGCCCAAGCTAACCGACTGGTGCATGCAGGCAGAAGTGGTAACCTCAATGTTGATAGATTCAGGACTGCCAACAGAAAGTACACAGTTGCATGGTAAAAGCATGGAATTTGCTCCCATTAGAGGTAGTGGTGTCCACCAACTTGGATGACTTTAAAAGAGAATTAGAATAATTCGTGGAGGAGGAGGAGGAGGAGGAGGAGGATTTCAATGGCTACTGGCATGATGGCTATGTTCTATCTCCATTGTTGAAAGCAGCTGCTGGGAATCACAAGAATGCTGTTGCACAACTGAGTCCTGCTTGCAGGTTTCCTGCTGGTGCATCTGGTTGACCACTATGAGAACAGGATCCTGGACTAGACGGGGCTTTGACCTGATCCAGCTGCCAGACTCATCTTATGTTCTTAGCATTCTTCAGAATGAGCTGGCTGATTGGCCGACAGTGGACAGAGGGACCTCTGCAAGAGAAGGTGTCCCCAAATAATCCTTGCTATGACTTTATCCACCCTGTTACACCCTGCTAAGTTCATGGGGGGAGGGACTTTGCCCTGGAAAGCTTCTAACTTTAATCTTCTCACGTTCACAGCTCTGTCATCAGCAGATGCTCAATATAGACGGGTGCCAAATGAAAGCTGAAACACTGCAGGGTGAAGAGCAGCTTTAAGAATGATCTAATCCAAAAGGGCGGCTGATATGCCCAAATCGGAAATGTACACAATGTGCAGCTGAGAGGCTCGGATTTGGGTCTCGCCTCTCCAACAGGCCAATTTACTCACTATGGCTGCTTACACAGCATGTATTTCACATTCTCTACCCCACCCCTAGAATCCAGTGAACTGTAGTTTTAAGGGTGCTGGGAACTGTAGCTCCATGAAGGGCAAATTATAATTCCCATGACTCTGGGTGGGTTTGGGGAATGTGCCTTAAACATATGGTGGGTGCACAACCTATGACTCAAAGACAGGGAATCTGTAGCTCTGAAGATGTCATTGGACTGCAGCTCCCATCGTCCCTGACCATCACCCATGCTGGCCAAGGCATGATGAGAGTTGTAGTCCAACAACATCTGGGAAGGTCACAGATCCTTAATGTCAGCCCAGGAGGGGAATGGAGAAAAAGCATTTGTTTCCAGAATCCAGGAGTGAAAAGCAAGATCTGATTTCCACAAGGCCTAACAAGCCTGCACTTCACCGTCTCTTACATATATGGAGAAGTGCCCAAAGACCCAAACTATTCCCTTCCTAACGCCCACCCTTCCCTTCTACCTAATTTTTTGCTGCTCACCAGTGGTTTTGCCGCAGGTGCTCCTGCTCCTGTGGCACTTGCAGCTGCTTGCTGTAAAAAGAGCAAGCCTGCTTTAAGAACCAAAAATTATTCCCTCCCAAGTCAACTGCAATATATTATTTTCCCAGCTGGGCTCCGGCCTCTCACCTCCCTCCGCTTGGCAGGCCCTATATTACCACCAGCACTCTCCCTTTCTCTGTGATGTGTCCTCATTACATATAATTGCACCCCTTCCTGTGGAACGAGGGGCCGAGCAGCAGCAGCACTGCAAAGATTCAACACAGCAGCTGCTAGCTCCAGGGAACCTGTTATTTGCTTCTGACAGGATGTGAGCCCTCCTTCAACTTGCAAAGCCATGAAGATGAATCCAGCAGTTTCAGCAGGTGATGAACCAAGCATGTCAAAACAGCACTTTCTCCCACAGCCCTAAGAAGCACCCCATGCAAAACACTTGAGCCCTGAAACTCCATTCTCTCGTACAGCCAGTGTGCTTTTGTTTAACTGGTATTAATAGCTTTTGTTGCATCTTCCAAACAAACAAACAAACAAACAAACAAACAAACACCATATATTCAAACAATAATACAGCCAGCATGCTTGACTGAACAGGGCGTGGAGGAAAAGGAGAATGAAGTGCAATTAAGACACATCCGTCAAGGAATTTCAGTTCCTAAAAAATCCCAAAAGAGCATCCCAGCCCCCCACAATTCTCCAGAAAACACAGGCCATCTCAAAGACCCTGGAAAGTGAATCAGCCAGTGGAAATCAATCCCTGCACCATGAATTACGGTGGCAAAATAGACAATAAACTCAAATAAAAAGACAGTAAGTATTTGCAAAGAAGGTAAAAGTGAGGATGATATATAATACAGAAGAACTGGGGAAGAAAGAAAGGGAAGAATAATAAAAGGGTAAATAAAACCTGAAGCAGATTTGGGAGAAGGAGTTCACACAAATTCTGTACATCATCAATGGAATACTTTAGTTTGCATAAAACACTCTCATTTGGTCTATAATCACGGAGCTTTAGATACCAAGGTGCTGATAAGGAATGCAAGAGTTACTGAGGCACAATTTCTTCAATTGGCAAAAACAGGACAAAGCCTGTGAAGGAGACCTCTGCATACAGAGCACTGCAAGTATTGCAGAAAGCTAGTCATCTTCCATTTAATCAGCTTTCCATAATAACTGCAGGCACAGCCGCCTTGCACATCTCTGAAATCTCCAACACCTACAAAAGGCAGCAGGAATGAAATTCACACAGCCTGAAGCCCAAGACATGTGTCCTGAATTAAGCACCCCTTGCAGCTTTACGAGAACTTAAAAAGCACAGCACAAACCTCCCGTTATCTTGCACAACAGCCCTACGCAGTAAAGACCGACAAGATTACCTGCTCATCCACTCGCTGTCAGAAAAAAGACTCAGAAGATGTGTGTTCATGCACACACACAAATAAAAGTCACTTGAACTTCAGTTGAGACAAGGAAGGAGGGAAAGAGGAGAATTTCAGTGCAGCTCACTGAGAAACTCAACCATCACCATCCATTTGTCGCTGGAGTGTGGCGCACATCGCAGTCCTTGTGCACCTTATTGCCAAGGGAGCCACACGCACACCCACACACGCCCTCCCCAGTCCCAATAGGTCAGCTGTTTCCCCCGCCTCTTATGATCTCCAATGAGCCAGCAGTGCATGGCCAATGGACTGCCTGGGGATGGCAGGAGACAGTGCTCAGCCTCTCTTTAGTGGCAAGATCAATGCTCAGGGGTTTCTCCCAGCCACTACCTCCACAACCTTCCCCCCCCTTTTTTTTGCAGGAGATACTTTACAACAGTTCCTCTGAATGCACTCAGTTGTGTTGCCGGCAAATACATCTCTATCCTCCTTTGGAGCAAAGGACCACTTTGCAAGAGTCTCCAGGCAGTTTGCTCCTGCGCAGATCAATGGAGCGAGGCAGATGCATTGCTAACTCTAAAATAAGCCAGTGGGTGAGCTGCCTTTCCTGGCTTTTGGCTGCACGGCCCATTTCTGCCACATAACTCTAAAACATAAAAGGGCTATCCTCAAGAGGCAAATCTTTTTATGGTGAAGGGAAACGGGGAGTAATATAAACTCTTATGTTCCTGCAATACGGTGAACAAATTCAGATATGGGAGACCTTGACCAGTCTTCATTGTGGCCAAGGACTCAACATGTGAGGTTGGGCAAGTCTCAGCCTCAGTTTCCCATCTGCAAAATGGATGAATCTGTCCAATTTCAATTCCTCACAGTTCTTCATTTTTCACAGTCTTAGGTTAAACCCATCACATTTCCACATCAATTTGCAGTTTTTCTGGGGAGGGCGGGGGTAGTCCTAAAAAAAATATACTAGCATTTTAGTGCTCATTTGTTCTGATACCTGTCAGGGCTCCTTTACCTCTACCCTTTTAAGACATTTGTATATGCGATTCTTTCTAATAGACAGAATATTGCAAGTAATTTCCACTAATACTATACAATACATTTTTGTACAGTATTTTAAAATATATATATCATATTCTATTCAGACTTCCCCCATAAACACACATTTCTTTACACACTTGTTTGGCTGGAAAACAGCATGCACTGCAAAATTTGGAGAAATGCAAAGTTTGAAGGACAGGTGCCTTTCGGTTCACCTATTATTATTATTGGAAATGCAAATTAGGTAGGCTTAGCAAAATGTGAACTAAACTGAATTTCTCCCTATTTCCTAGAGAATAGTGGCCTACCATACAGGAATGTTATGAGCTGAGCATAAGAAATACAGGGCGAGTCTTTTAAAAGAGGCCCCGTGGAACATGTGTACTCTGTATCCATGGGGCCTCTTTTAAAGGACTCACCCTGTATTAATGTGTACGCCAGAACATATGACCACATGTGCAATACTGAAATGCCAGCCAAGACAGAAAGCACTCCTACCCTTAGGGGTTTAGTGATTTCTGTCATGTCCTGTCTTTGCTGCAACCAGTGGTGTTTCCATTCCGCTACAGTTCAGCTTCTGCCCAAACCTATGTGATTCACTTTGCTATCTGCTACGGTTGAAATGAAAGTAGTTAATTATGTAATTAGTTACAGCTTAATTTCATGAAAGTTAAATGTCCAAAACAATGCAGAAAACATTGTTTAAGGGACGCTAATCAAATTAGCAGTGGGGATAGCTGGGATAGTAAACTGGCAGCTGGGATAGCTCAGTCAGTACAGCATGAGACTCCTAATCTCAGGGTTATGGATTCGAGTCTCACGCTGGGCAAAAGATTCCTGCATTGCAGGGGGTTGGACTAGATGAGCCTTGTGGTCCCTTCCAACTCTACTATTCTATGAAATACCACTCATATTCGCTTGCAAGATTGCCATCCCTGACCTTGGATGAACATGCAAACTTCAGCAATGTCTGCTAACGTTTCCGTTTCTGACTGAATATTCTGACATTCCTAGCACCTTACACAATTGCTTAGGAAACAAGGAGGGCAACTATTGGATTCTCTGCTCTGCAAGACTTATGTGATGTTTTTGTGAACTGAAGTCTCCACCTTGGATGCCTTTATAGGAAGCTGATCCAATTGCTGGAAAACCACCACTTGGGGGTGGGGTGGGAACCACAGCTGCTGTAATTGTGGGAATGTGGGAATATGAACACACACACACGGTGAGCATGGAGGGGGCAGGTGCTCACCAGCAGACCGGCCCCCTCATGAGATGAGCAGGTTGGGGGCAGCCCCTACATACAAAGCAGGCTGCAAGCACTGTTGATCCTCCTGCAGTCTGTTCAGCCCAGCTGGCCCAAAATTACACACACACACACACACACACACACACACACACACCCGCCAGCTTTCAACTTACAAGGAGGAAAGGCATCTCCATGCTAAGCCCAGGGGATCAACACAGCATGAGCATACAGCTTTGAATGCAAACACAGCAGCCTCTCATTTTGCAGGAGGGAGATTCTGCAGAGAAATCTGCTGCATCTACGTCAGAAAAGGAAAATTATACTCCTGGTGACTCATATTCAGTGACATTTAACAAAGGCGGGGGGGGGGAGAGAGAGAAGAATAAAATCCTATCAGTACCTGCTTCCTTCTTCTGGGTGAAATTCAAGAGCTGGCTTGATTTATCTCGCCTGCAGCCTTGTGACCAGAGAGAGAGACCCCTTTCTCCCCTCTGTGCTTCCAGAGTTCCGCTGGGAAGGGGAAGATTGATGAAACACTCTTGAGAACTGCAGCTCCATGAAGGGAACGGGGCTCTCCTAAAACAACTCTCAGCATCCGGGGGGGGGGGGGCGGGGAGCCATGAGTGTTAAAGTGGTATAATAGTGCTTTAAACATATGATGTGAAAGTAGAAAGTGGGAAGGAGAAGAATAGGAGCTGAGGAATCTTCAAACAAACAAACACTGAAGGAGACTTATGCTAAGTCACATCTGCAATTGACATTAAAGGCTGAGAGTTGTTAAGAGAACCCCTATTCCCCTCACAGAGCCACAATTCCAGAGTGATTTAACTGTCCACCCTCTTCCCAGGGAATTCTAGGGCTTGTCCCAGGGTGGGTGGCCCACAACAATTTAAAATACAATATTAAAACAAATTACAATCACAAGAATAGGGCGAGTCCTGAAAATATACCTCTCAAGTGTCAAAGGCATTTGGTGAAAACTGTACAGTGAAGGTGCCTGGCGCATCCCAGTGGGGAAAGAGTTCCACAACTTTGGGGCTGCCCCAGAGAATGTACCCTCCTGGGCCATCACCACCACCCAGCTTCACAGGAACTACCAAGAGGGCCCCCTCTGCCGATCGTAGCGCCTGAGAGGGTGAGAAGGGAGATGGGTCAGCCACTGTGGGAACAGGTTGCTGGCCTAAGATGGGCCACTGGCCAGATCCAGCAAGCTCTTCTTATGTTCACCTCTGTCTTCTACATGGAATCTGAAGTACCTCTGAGCCCCATACAGAACAATTTCTCCAGCACTTACTCCCAATATCCCTCAACATAAACAGGAGAAGAATCCACCTTCCTCATTTATATTTATTCTGTGATGCTCCGCTAGCTGCCTTCTATCCTTACACGCATCATACCTTTTCTTCCTCTGGGAAATTAATAAAAGCTGCAGCTGTGGAAGAAGAAAAGCGAGGCAGCCAGCCCGCTTCCCATTTCTATCTGGCCATGGAACTTTATAGGCTAATAAAAATAATTAGTTGCCATCAGGGCAGGAAATGAAGAGGCAGCCGGTCAATTCTTAACTTCATTTAGGCATGGCATGATGCAATCTAACACGGTCCCCCGAACACATTGGGAAATGAAGCTTGTCATTTCCCCCACACAGATCCAGGCTCTGGGCTGAAGGCGAAATGCCCCCTGCCCTAAATCCAAGAGGCAGCAGTACCCCCAGACCCAGCAACTGAGGCATGGCTCTGTTTTGCTGCTCTCTGCTGGAATACCCCCTTCCTTTATGAATACCTTCGTTCCCCAACATTTTAGCTGCTAAGTGCACAAATATTCCATTTTATCTTTGGAAAGGTTTCTCATGTGCCTTAGATATATGTGGATATTCCAGGTTTCCAAGTAGCCTGGGAGTACTTTATTCATTTATTAATCATACTTATAGTGTGCCTTTCCACAAAGGGCTCAAGTCGGGTGGCATATATGGATTCTTCCTTCCCCGTTCCCCCCCCCATAGATTCACAGAACAACCCTGAAGGGAAAGCTAGGCTCCGAGATAATGACTAACCCCAAGTCACACAGCGAGCTTCATGGGGAAAATGATCTTTCAGAAACCTTAGATTTGGTCAGGCTAACAGTTCATCGAGCCTCCTCCAAACTGCAGCATCTTCACAGGCTCTCAGGAAGAGAAGGGTGTTTTGAAAAACCAGATCCTTCAAACAGGAGAGGCCATGGATTGAACCTGGGTCCTTCTGCATGCAAAGCAAGTACTCTACCCCTGAGCTGTGGAAGCCATGCTAGAAGCATCCCATCCCTACTAGGCTTGGATGCTGAGCAAAGATCTGCCCAGTCAGACCTCCACAGAGGCCATTCACTCATTAATCAGCAGCCAAAAAGGATTATTTGATATTTGACACTAAGGCAGTTTAACTTCGCCAGGAAAAGATTAGATTTCTGATTTTATGTTTGCTGTCATTCAGTTTCTATCTCACACACACATTCACACTCACATTCTCTCTCTCTCTCTTTCCCACACCCCTATACTGAAGCGGCCTTGGAAATAAAAAGATAGCCCATAGCTAACATGATGAGACTCTGGAAGTGTTTTCAACCCCTCCCCCTTCAACGTGCCAAAATAAAGAGCCAGGCAGCTGTGCGTCAGCCTCCTAGTAGCAGCCCTTGGAGAGGGATAAAGACTCAAGGAGAGGTGAAGGATTTTCTGCTGAAAAAAGAATGCATCTGTTCGCCTAGTTCCCTTCAGAGAAAGAAGCAGAGCTGGTGCTGGCGCCCAGCATCCGTGGGCAGTTGCTGGGCTGCCAACAAGGCCCACCACTGAGGGGCCCTTTAAAATTAATTCTGCTCTAGGGCCACTATTTCCCATAATGCCCTGCAGTGCCAC